GTTTCTCCTAGTACCTCGGGCTACTTTACATAATTTTTTATTTATTTATTAATCTCAATCTCTTTCCCCATCTCCTTTTCAAATATCCTGAGAGAGATATTTGATTGAGATGGAGATTAAAGGAACTTCCTCAAAGCCTTCCAGTGCAATGTTGTGGAAGAATGATTTAAATCTGGGTTGTTACAAATTCTTGAAATTGTATTTGCTTAACTTAAATATTTTAACCTGTTTTCTTTTAGTTTATAGGATAAGCTATTATGTGGTTGTTTTCTATAGAGACATACCATATATATATGATTAACTCTGGACCAAGTAAAATTGAACATGTTTTACTTGGTCTAGAGTTTAATGCATTTAATAGATTTTCCCCCCAAAATGAAAATAGCCACCGGGTGCAGTGAGGAAAGGTGGAATACAGTTAATTATTAAAATCATAGTAAGCATGGACGTTAATCTTTTCAGAAATGTGTTCCTTCCAGGCTGTTATTTGGCAATAGGAAGACAGCTGCAAGAACAGGTTTTTTGGGGGGGAATACAGGAAAGGAAGAAAAACATAGCTTAAATGAGCTTGCTGCAATTCAGTCAGTGGCTAATCCGTGCTTCAGATTAAGTCCCAAAAAGTGCTTCATAGGACATGGGAAGCAATGTTCTGTTCTGTAGCTTTTTAAAGCAACCACTTCTTTTTCTGAGAATCACATGGCAGCTGAAGAGAGTAACTATACAGGAAATGATGTAACTGCAACAGCTTCAAGTGGACAGTTATAGGTAGATGATACATTTGAGCTGCCATGGGCTTTGAAAATTTTTTCTGAATTTTAACAGGGGTGTTATACATCCCTAATAATTATATTTGATTTTTAAAAGTACAGTCAGTTTACCGCAGTTTGGCATTTTTGTCTGTAAATTAATTCCAAGTAGAATGTGCTTTCAAAGCACTGATATTGCAGATGTGTAATGCTATTGTGTGGTTTGTGAATCCAACTGTAGTTTATAATAGTGTTTAAACAAATGACCTGAGTTAGACATTTTCAACTGGTATCTTGCATTTTGTATGTATACTATTTTTTTTATAGGGGAAATCTTTCAGATATAACAACATAGTCACAACATCTGCTTCGGTTAAATGAACTTTTACCTAGTTTGAAAAGTAATCATTTTACAAAGTCAGAACATATTTTGCTAAAAGAATCATCAGGATGAGGATAATATCCAGAATCTCCAGAACTATACAACTACCAACATTAAATGCTCATTAAAAACATTGATTTATATTATTTCCACATCTCTGTCTTCTGATGGGAAAAAGTCCAACAGGGCATGACTTTGCATTTCTTGAAATTTGAATATTAAACCAGATTATTCAAAAGATCCTTGTTGAATATTTACATATATTAATCCACTGAATATGGAAAATTAAGAGCACAGAAACCAACTGTTGATACAGGTTGAGTCTATTTTTTCTGTGATTATAATGCATAAACTTGACGTTCCAAGAACATTTTTCTATTGCTCTACTTAATTGTTGTAATGAAATCAAATGGTAGTTTCATTTTATTTACCTTATAAGGAAGACCATGTAGATTAACTAATTCAATTTTGTGGAGTTTCTAAAAGGATAAGAAGGGTTGGCACAATCTGCTGGCTAAGGTTTGGCATAGGGTTGAAATTTCTTTCTATCAGTAAGAGTTGGTGCTTGATCTATTTTTTATTATCTCAAGAAGGTGAAAGCTAAGTAGGGTCAGATCTCTTTAGTTTTGGGATGGGAGACTGTCTGGATATCTCAGGTTTGCAGGCCAATTTATGAAATCAAAAACACATCCTGGAAGATTGCAGGGACAAATCAATCAGAAGTCATTACCAAGATAACAACATGTATCTGTCACACTAATTCTGCAACCTGCCAAAGAATAGAATGCAAGACAGAGAACAATAAAGAGAATAACATTCAAAATAAGCAAAGTGACATTGCACTGACTATGCCTTTTTAACGCAATGTGGTTTAAGAAGAGGTTAAACATTGAGTTGAAAGAAATGCAAGTAAGAGAAACATTTGCTTTGAAAAGAGTGTTAGAGTTACAATTTAGGTCAGAGATTACTCACTTCGTGCTTATGCTAGGAAATCTGGCAAAGTAACGAAAAAGGAGAAGTCAATTGAGATCATATCGACAAGCTCAGGAAACACTGACAAATGGTAACAGAATCCCAGGGTGTGGAAAAAGGTTTCTGAAGAGGATGATGCTTAACTAGCCACCCATTCAGTCATTAAATACCAGCCTTAAGTAATACTCTTGTGCACATGGATGAAATGAAACTGAAAACCATGCTTTTGGCAATGCATGTTTCAAGATTACAGAATCAGCTGTCTGCACATATGTGCGTAGGATCAAATTCCAAATGGTAGTGTAAATTGATTAGAAATTTTGATTTGTCTCTAATTATGCAATCTTTCAACAATCAATCTGTACTAGAGCAGGAAGTAGGAATTTCTTAACAGAAATGAGAGCTTGTAGGAACTGGATTATTTCTTGACCGCTTCCATCCTCTTTGGGAATTATCAGTGCTAGGATAAATGAGTACACTTCAATATCCACTATTTTTTAATCACTTCCCTAAATGCTCTTCTTCTATTCTCCATGGCAGTTTCTGAGGCCCCATAGCTTTACTCCTTATTCTAATATTTGGGAGACACATGTTTTCTAAAGGAGTTTCCAAACAAAGATCAAAGAAATGAGCAAGGTCTTTACTCTTTTCTGCATGAGAATGGAAGAAATCAGTAACATGGTCTCTAACTTGCAATGATTTATGTGCAATAAAACATTCTATAGTTTATTGCTTATGAGTACACATGTATACTAGGGGCACAATGGCTCAGTGGTTAAAGACACTGAGCGTGTTAACTGGAAAACTGACAGCCCAGGTTCAAGACCCAAGCGCTTTGTGATGGAGTGACCTCACATCCTTGCCCCAGCTCCTGCCCCCCTAGCAGTTCAAAAGCATGCAAATGCAAATAGATAAATAGGTACTACTTTGATTGAAAGATAACAGTGTTCTGTGTGTTTTGGCATATAGCAGTGATGGCTAACCTTTCTGTCCACGTGTGCTAGCACCCATAAAGCAGTACATGCGCCCCCCACCCCCTGCGCATGCGTGCATGACCCCCCATGCGTGCGCCGCATTTCTGGGACCCACTATACATGCCACACATTTCTGTGCATGTGCACACACCCCGCACGTGTGGCAGCTACCCAATGATCAGTTGGTGGGCGGGCGGCGAGCGCTCCTATGCAGTGGACCTGCTCTGGGGCAACAGCTCGCATGTTGGCAGAGATGGCTCTGCGTGCCACTTCCAACACGCGTGCCATAGGTTCGCCATCACGGGCATAAAGTCATGCTGGCCACATGACAACAGAAATGTCCTCAGACAACACTGGCTCCCTTGGCTAAGAAATGGAAATGAGTACTGCCCCCTAGAGTCAGACACAACTGGGCTGGGGAAAACTTTATCTTTACTTTGTACATGTATTCTTTTTCTATAGTAGCATACTAACACTTTGATGGAACAACTGTGTAGGCACCCACTGTCTATGCTCTCTCTCTCTCTCTCTCTCTCTCACACACACACACACACACACACACACACTATTATTATTATTAAATGTAAACTTGGCAAATGGTCATAGCTACTCATTGTTATAGCTGGTTATCACATTAATTGAAATTGGTTTTTGGAGTGCATACAAAATAGATTATATAAATACATAATGTATAACGCTGTCATCAGTGTATGAAGGGGAAGGGGCAGGCAATTAAAGTCAATAACAGACACTGTGGCTACTATTGCTTGTGTCTTGTGTCTGTGCAGTCATTCAACACAGCCAGGAAGGCAGCCCTGAGTTAGCTTTTGTAGGCCACCCGCCATGGCAGCAGCACACTTGACTCCATACAAAGAACACTAATAGGAAATGGCTGATAAATGAAGTGTCTTGATTAAATTTTACTTTGCCTCAAATGGTGTGTGAACTGCATTGTTCAAAAGGGTCTCTCAATGCTAAGAGAGGCCTGGCTGATTGCCATGGCTATTCTGGTCCTTCCTGATGACAGAATCATGTCCCTATGACAGGAGTCTCCGGGGGCTATTTCTAATCCTAGACAGAAGTATATTCAATTCTCATAAATCCAAGAGTGATAACTCTGTGCTCTGCATATGAACTTAATTCTTCTGTGTTTCACAAAAGAACCATTTTGTAGGGAATATGCTCTAATGTTTCTGCAGGGGGATCAGAATTGCACTGCACATGGTTGTTTTCCTATTCTTTTGACTTTTCAGTGCTTCTCTAATTAAATTTCAGCAAATAAATTCAATTTAAAACCTGTAGTCTGCACAGTTTTCCCTTTATGTTGTAGAAAGCAAAGCTGGAGAAAAACTGATTGCTTTCCAGATGTTGCTAAATTAAAGTTTCCAGCAGTTTTCATTATCAGTCAGCAGGCTGGCTTCTGAAAGCAATACCTGAGAGGCCACATGTTCCTTTCTATCATGGAACGTGGGTGGATAAAATGGGTAGGTTTTGCCCCATTGCTGTTATTGGCCATTTCTTCTTTTTTACTTTAGCAGAAAATGATGCTGGTTAAGAAAAATGCTAAGCTCTCGGTTTAGTTTTGCACCAATCGTTTTGAAAGGATAAGCTCTGAAATACGCTGAATAGACCACCTTCATCCTGTGATGCTATCTTATGCTGAACTGGGCCTTTTCTTCCCCTCATTTTCATGTTGTGATGACTATCCAGCCTGGTCAAAATCTTGAACTGGCCTTGGCACTAATTGTAGTTGGTAGCATCTGCTCTACAACTGAGTGGACTATACTTAACCTAAATTGTGTTTCTTCCTATTCCTCATTTCTACTTTATCTTTTAAACAAAACTATTGGGGTTTTTTTGTGTGTGTGTGTAGTTGTGTGGCTGTAAACATTACTTCTTGCTTCTTGTTTTCATGTGCTTTTATAGGTCCTCCAGAAACTTGGCAAAGCGGATGAAACAAAAGATGAGCAATTTGAACAGTGTGTGCAAAACTTTAACAAACAGCTGGTAAGTCAGTTTTAAGGATTCATTCATTGATTGTTGTACACCACCCAGAATTATTTTGAGTGAGATGGGTGGCCATATAAATTTTATAAATAAATAAATGAATACAATTGGTTCACTTATTCTTTTAATTTATGATCTGTCTCTTTCCTTCCTTGATCTTAATTGGTACCAAACCAATGCCAGATGGTCAGGAATGGATTTGGGGTACAGTATTTAGGTTCTAGGATGCTTACTTTGGTATAAAAGTTTCAAGGATTATTTGGCAAAATTTAGAGACATTGATTGATTGCTGTAACTATTCTTCCCTCCCTGTGAATAGCACACAATATTTAAAAGTTGCAGATAGCCTCTTCTTTTAAACCTCCGGTTGTCTTTGATGACTTACTTAATCTGCAACAGAACAAATAATTATCTTTCTTTTCCAGTTCTTGTTAGACATATACCACCATAAAAATATAATTGAGCATTTTCTGCTCTATAATTGCAAAAATGCATCATCCAAACATAAAATAACATTGTTATGAGAGGAAAAAAATGACAAAAGGTCAAACAAATTAGTCGCCTCCCAAAAGATGTACATGGTACAGACTATATCCCATTCAATACAACATGTAGAAAACTTGGATACTAAAAATGCAAATAGAACAATGGGCAAAAGTAATGTCTTATACTGTTATAATGTCTTTGTTTATTGGATTCTCTTTTTTAATGTATTATATAATTTAACTCATTTTGGAACTTATGTGGAATGTCTTTTAAGTCATATTTTTGCAGAAATATTGAATAATTAAAAGTAATTAAGTACCTACTAGTTAAGCAATTAAAATCACACACTTTAAAGCGTCGCTGTAACTATTACATTGTTTTTAAAAGTAGTAAATGATCTATCGGGGCTGCAAAATGCAAAGCCCATGGTCAAATGCCATATCCACAAACACTAGTTGCTTCTGTATGTGTGCAGCAAAGAAGTTTGGCCATTTTGAGCAAAACTCTTACTGGTTAGGTCACCTTCTTGCTTAGTTCTAAGTAGCACATAAACTAATTTTACTGTGTATGTGATGCAATTTTTGAAATCATGTGTTTTTAGCTTACATTAATGCAACAAGTAGTTTTCCTTAAAATGTACTGAAATGTCAAATCATATTTAAGAGTTCATCTTGCTGCTTTTTTGGATTAAAAGCATGAAGTAGAGATGTTCTCCAGTACCATGTGACCAAGTGCTTCCATTAAAATAAGTTTAAGCACAAATTTGTTGAAGATGGCCAGGCTGAGCCCGAGGGAGGGGTCAAACACGTCATCCATCATGAGTCTCTGTGCTCCCACAAGAGATCTAAGTCCTTGAATTCCTTTCTATTTTTAACTTCTGCTAATTTCCCTTGACCATTAGTAGTTCAGATTCTTGTAGAGACCTTAAGTTTGCAATAAATTTCTGTACTCATTTGAACTGCTTGAATCTTCTGATTTCCCTGGCGCTTGACAAAATACACAATACAGTGTGAACATGGGCAAATAATGTAACTTCAGCAAGTGTCCTACCATAATGGACATCCTGTAATAGCTAGCTGAAGAACAGCTTTGTATCTAATTGAATAGGCAATTGTATGGTTGATACATGGGCAATAATTTGGAAACATATGTTTCTATCAGTGCCATAAATAAGGAAATATGCTTGTTTAAAATATTAATAATAGATGAAATGCAATACATTGGCTAAAGTAGTTTTAGGATGATTTTTTTCAGGGGCCATAGCACCAAATGAAGAGATTATCTTAGTCTACATGTTGCATTTAGGACCCTCATTAAATTTCAATGAAAAAAATGATGTAAATAGTGCCAAACAGCAACATTTTCTTTGGCCTTTTGTTTTACTTTTGGAATTCATTATGGAACATATTTTCATTTGGAAATTCACAATGTCTCTTAGCATTGATACTGATTTCCTAGAAAAGCTTTTGTGCACAAAATTTATATATCTAAAGGACAATTTTTTTAAAAAAATTTCCTCCTTGTCAGCAAGGCATAAGACTAAATTTTGACTGTCCAGATTCTTCATCCCATAATCAAGAACTTGCTTACAGAAGTTCACAGACATAACACAGCTTTATTTAAGACCAGATAAAACTTATTTATAGGTAGGTCTGATTCTTGTTCCTGTGTACAGGTACTCCTAGTTTTACGACCACAACTGAGTCCAAAATTTATGTTACTAAGTGAAATATTCATTAAGTGAGTTTTGTTCCATTTTATGACTTTTCTTGCCACTGTTGTTACATGAATCATTGCAGATGTTAAGTTAGTAACACGGTTGTTAAATGAATCTGGCTTCCCCATTGACTTTGCTGGTCAAAAGCTCACAAAAGCTGATCGCATGACCCAAGAGCACTGCAACCGTCATAAATACAAACCGGTTGCCAAGCAACTGAATTTTGATCAAGTGACCGTGGGGATGCTGCAACAGTCCTAAGCGTGCAAAATGGCCATAAGTCACTTTTTTCCAGTGTCATTGTGACTTTGAACTAAATGAACAGTTGTAAGTCAAAGATTACCTATAATACAGTAACCCAAAGTTGTGTACTGGTGTGAGTATTTTGGCCCACATTTTCTTCTGAATTTTCAAATCAATAGAAAGTTGGTCCCAGCCTTTCTGGCCTTGAGATTGGGTGAGGCTTTCTTAGAGTTTACAAAACTCTTCTGCCTTGCCTGAGATTCAAATTTCCATCTTGCTAGTGTCAGCCTCAGGCCTTACACTACATAATTGTAGACCCTAAATTGAAAGTTTTTTTTTCAGAAAGCAGAATTCTTGAGGGTTTTAAACAGCCATATGTGTTTTTGTAAAGAAGTATACAATCTCTCCTCTCCCCATCATGGCATTCTGTGTTTTATAATTGGTTTCTACTTGATTAATGTTAGCATTTGGATTGGTATCAGGGATTTCCAGGACTTCCATTACATCTTAAACATTCCCATTGATTCCTCTCCATGGATTTAAATAAAAACATCTTAAAAATAAAATGAATGAAAACTTACAAGTTTACCGGTTAATATAAACTCAAATAATGCTAACAGGGGAAAAAAAAACCATTGCAATTTCTTTAAAAGTCAGTGTTCTTGGTTGGATTCTCATGAGAATTCAGCATTCTTGCTCAGGATCATTGAGATCAGGATAAAATTGCTGAAATCTCCCAGGATCTCACAAGATCTCCCCCCCCCCACTGGGAAAAACATTTGATGCTAGAAAAACAAAGTTTACCCTTGTATAAGAATAAAACCCAAGGGGGAATATTAATTAAATACAAAAAAAAGCCTCTTAAAAAAAAGGCTTTGTAATTACAATAATACAAAGCATACAAAATCATACAAATACAATCATACCAAACAGAGCTGGTTTGCTAAACAATGACATATACTTGGGACAAGCATAATTTTCCTAAGGAAGATCATTAGATATTTTAAAAGTAAACATAACATGAGTATCTGGAAATTTATATGATCTAGCTCAGGAGTCTCCAACCTTGGCAATTTTAAGACTTGTGGACCTCAACTCCCAGAATTCTTTGCTGGCTGAGGAATTCTGGGAGTTGAAATCCACAAGTCTTAAAGTTGCTAAGGTTGGAGACCCCTGAGCTAGCTGGTTGCCCCAAATAGAAGAAAAGATGAAGTGGTGACCAACACCTGTCACTGCAGCTGTGACGTTCCTTTTTTATTACTAGCTAGTCACTGCTATTCTCTGGGTAGACATGTGGGACCTTCTGGCTACAAGGCTTTTAGTTTTGTTGAGACTACCTACTTCACTGTTCATTATCCTGCCTGCTTTGGGGTTATATTTGGGTTTGAGAAACCACATTTATGGTAGCTACAGGAAATATAAGTACTAAAGGAAGTCGATCTTACGAAGCCAGAGACCGTTCTCTATTTAAGCTGGAGTCCCAGGAAGGATAGAAATGGCATCTAGGCATCGATTGAAGAATGGGCTGATTGTTTGCTGTATTGCTGGGAAGACAAACAGACAGCTGTCTTTGCTTTGCCCTGAGCTAAGACCCTGTTTTTCTACAGTCAAGTGGGTATGAGGTCTGCTGTGAAATGGAAGGGATATAAAATTAGCTGTTTCGCTCATGCATTACAACTGTCAACCTTTTTCTTATTCCTGAATGGGAAGGGAATCTTGTTCTAAATACCTTGTATGTCCATTCAGAGATCTATGGGCATGCTTCCTGTCATCCTGCAAATGGCACGAGATGTACCTCCCTGTTAGCTTTGAGGCTGACCTTGATACGCATCATGTAAACCAAACATGGGTTGACTTTTTTGGCAGGGGCTCAGACATTCCAGTAATCTGAGGTACCTCTGCAGTTTGACGAACAGAACAACTGGAGCCAAGCAGAAGGCAACTTTCTCCTTCACTTGATCTGCCCTTTGCATAGTTCTTCAGAATAGCTTCTGCTATTAACCAGGATGGATTAAAATATAAGAAAATAAACACAAACCCAAATAGGAGCATGCTCCTGTTCACTCATGCTATCATTTAAAAAGGAAAAACAACACCCCAGAACTATCAAAGCAACTACAGTGTTTCAGTGTTTGCATTGTAAAACAGCTCTCAGATGGACATTAGGAACAGGAATGAATACACATTTAAAACAAAATTAAAAAGGGGTATTTATTCATTCAAAATAGTAGCATTATTTCAGGAAATAGAAATATACATAAAGTCTAAGGAATGCTTTAAATGTTCAATACACAGACAAACATAGGATATGAATGTGCTTGGAAGGGAATCTTATTGTGTTGGCTATTTAATCAGCAGATTCCCCCAACCCCATTATTCCTTCAACAAAATAGTTACATTTGGAACTGCTTAACTTCTTCAGTTGTAGTGGGAGTGGTTCTTGGTCGATTGACAAAGAACAGTTATGCTGTAGGCTCATAAATTCCCACTTCTGGAAATTGCTGCCTGGGAAAATATTCATGTTAAGAATATTTCCCAATGAATTAGTTTCCCATATCTAGGAACTGCTATTAAGCACAGAGCCTCCTGCCCCAGACTGTGTCTATTTTGGCAAAGGAGGGGAAAAGAAAGAACAAAATGCTGTGAATGATCTTGCAATAGTACTTTAATGATCATTAGGTTAACATACCGTATGTAGCCTAATGTATGTTCTTGGTTTGATGAAAAAAACTCGTTTGTTCTCTCTGGCAGTGTATTCTTTCTAGTCACTATAATTTATCTCCCATCTGTTTTATGGCATCCACTGAAGTTCTTTTAGGTATATAGAAATAATGAGCCTCAAATTCAATGAGTATCTCAATTTGAAAAGCAAATTGTGAGCTGGACCTGAAATACTCATCTGCCATATCTCTAAATAGCAAATGAAGTGTTGGTATTAAATACATCAACTTATCTTTCCCGTTCCTTTCTGTTCTGTTAATAGCATTAAGCATTTGATGAGGCTCAAGACTTAATGGATGCATAATGACAGAAAGATAGTCAGTCTTTCCTGCATTCTTATGTGCCTGAGTGTCAGAGAGAAACCCAGCTATTCCTGATCTGTCACACTAAGCTGTCTATCACCCATATACTCCTAAATTTGCAGAATAAGCTTAACCTGTGGTTATATCAGGGGTGGGCAAACTACGGCCCGCGGGCCACATCCGGCCCGTTGGTCTTTTTAATCCGGCCCGCCGAAGATTGGTACAGAATTAAGGTTTGATGTGAATGATTGCATTCATTTGATTTTGACTTGTAATGACAGGCATTTCGACACCAGGTGGTGGCCCGTCTGTCAAATTTTAAAAGTCAATGAGGCCCCCGAGCCAAAAAGTTTGCCCACCCCTGGGTTATATGTATATTATACCCGACACCCCCCCCTCTCCAAGTATAGCTATATACGGACAATAAAAACCAAACTTTTTGGCCATCGTGAACATTTCATGGTACGTTCTGGCATGCCTCTCATGTTTAGGATGGCTTCATAAGATGGTAGGAGGCAAGTGTCAGCAATTACATGGCTGGTAACAACTGAATCTGATTCTTTGATTAATTTCAAATGCTTTTGTAGCAGTTGTTTGTCCAAGTGGAAACATGTATATTTTCTTTGCCAGAGCCAAACTGGAATGGATTATTCCAGTTTTATTCTGAACATTTCCAAACATTTACAAACCACCTTTATTCAGGCCAAAGACCTACTTACTATGGCGTTCCATTTCCTATAATGGTCAACCAAATGATTAGAGAAAGGTTAGAGGTAGTCCTCAATTTACAACCGTTTGCTTCGTGACCGTTTGAAATTACAATGGCACTGAAAAAAGTGAGTTATGACTAATTTTTCACACTTATGACTGTTGCAGCATCCCCATGGTCACGTGATTTAGATTCAGATGCTTGACAACTGACTCACATTTATGATGGTTGCAGTGTCTTGTGGTCATGGGATCCCCTTTGCACCCTTCTGATAAGCAAAGTCAATGGGGAAATCAGATTCGTTTAACGACTGTGTTACTGATTTAACAACTGCAGTGGTTCACTTTAACAAATGTGGCAAGAAAAGTCATAAAATGGGACAAGACTCACTTAACAAAATTTCTCACAGCAACATAAATTTTGGGCTCAATTATGGTTGCAAGTTGAGGACTACCTGTACATGTCGTAGTGCAGTAGGACTCTTTTGATCGCATTTCCTAACATTTGGATTTCAGAGGTACGCTGATTTTAATGATGATACTAATCTATACCCATGATTAGTAGTATGTGTATGTGGACATTTCCTTTGTTCTTTGTCAGTCTAATTTGCATGATAATTTCCTGTGGTAATGAATTCCATATTTTATGTGCTATTTTGACAAAGTGCTTCATTTTATTTTTCTGTATGTCTATCATATGGCTTCATTAAGTGACCATGGATTTTAGCACCATGAGGGAAGGAGAAAAAAAATCTCTTCCAGTCACTTTCTCTGTAATAGGCAAAATTCTCTCTGTCTCTCTCTCTCTCGCTTTTACTTAGCTATAATGCTATCTCTTATCTCATTATAGCATTAGAGCTGATGCATTAGCCTTAGCTAGTAAAAGTGCTTCATGTTACAGTGGATACAAAGATAGAGCTAGAATGCCTCCTATCTTTGGGCTTTTAAGGGTACCATAATGATGCCAAAACAGATTAAACATCACTCAGCTTGATCATCCATCTGAATTCTGTTTCTTGGTCTGTGTGTAACCAGAGTCAACTGCTTTTTCAACACTACCACTGGCATATTGTTACACTTTTGATGGCCTCATGCATTAACTTTGGCTGGGATGCTTCTTCAAAACATGCAAAAATGAATGAAAGAGACACATTTTAGAATTCAGCAGCTTTAAAACTGAACATATTTCAACATGGCTCCAGTCAGGAGTATGGTGCCTCCTTGGTTGGAGGTTAGCAAGCCTGCGTTCGAGACCCGAATGTTTTTGTGTGGCAGGGTGAGGTTTCGTCCTTCGCTCCCTGCTGGGGACATGATAGGAGCCCCCAACAAGGCAATCCTTACAAGCCAGAAGCTCCTCGGTGCTTCTGATATGAGTGCAAAACAATAAATAAAAAAATAATAAAAAAGGCTGAAATCAATGTGCAACTGCTATCTAAATAAATTATACCGGTACTTTTCAATTTTTATAACAAATATATCTGCACAAGCAAATCAAGTTGTACATAATACAAATTTTAAACAACTAAGTTATTTTTAAAATTCTAATTGGCCTCTGAGTTAAGTACTGTGTTTACTTCATTCTCTCGCCAAGTATTTATTTCCCTATCCCCAGACAATTAAAGGAAAGCCTATTATTATTTTTTCCCATTGCTTCAATATTTCTGGAACTGTTGCATTCTTGATAAATTATTTTTGGAGCTTGTATTGGCACCTATGGTGATTATGTGGCAGAATCTGTTTCTATTCAATTTTCAGTTGACATTATGGTCTCGTTGACATAAAGAGCAACACAGCCTACAGTGTATCCAGGGGTGGGATTCACATTTTTTAACAACCGGTTCTGTGGGCATGGCTTAGTTGGTAGGCATGGCTTGGTGGTCATGTGACTGGCTGGGCGTGGCCAACTCAACATCACTCACATCGAGGCACGCATCTCATCGCCTGGCCTCTCATGACTGTGGGGATGCTGCAACAGTCGTAAGTGTGAAAAATAAGTCACTTTTTTAAAGTGCCATTGTAACTTTGAGTGGTCATCCCACACAAGCAAAGTACCAGCAAAGGAGGGGAAAAAAAACTCCAGAGAAGTTCCTGAGGCAGGAAGTCTAGTCCTGCCAAGAAAGTAATAAGGGTTAACGGAGAGGCAGTTTCTGTAAGCAACACCAGAATGTTTCCTTCCTGCCTTCCTTACAGGATTAGGCCATTAACTTCTTCTAACAACCGGTTCTCTGAACTGCTTAGAATGTTAACAACTGGTTCTAGTGAATAGGTGCAAACTGGTAGAATCCCACCCCTGAGTATACCCCAGTCTTTCTCCTTCTGGAGATCTTGTATACAGAAAGAATTTGTAATTGACAGTTTCTAAAGCTAAGCTAAAATTTGTAAAAAGATTATCCCACTCATCTTATAAGGGTTTTCAGTACAATGAATGTAGAGTCAACATCAGCAACAGAATTGGTGCATATCTGAACATATCAGAAGCATATGCATTTAAGTATTGGATAATTGGAACCCTATTATTTTATTTTAAAAAACACAAGATTAAGTATGAAGACTTAAACACTTTTAGAGTAAGAGCAAGGAGGGCCATGACAGGAAACATGTATTCACCTGGTACCTCCTGAAACAGATGTTGTATAAGCTTCCTCTCTTTAAAGTCCCCCTTTATGAAGAGAAAAAGAAAGGGGAAGTACAAGCAGGTGCTAGATAGATTTTTCTTTTTCTGGCTGCCAGTGTCCTTCCTTTTGAAAAGCCACAACTGTTCCCATGGCCATAGAGCATTCCATCCAACTTTTGTTGATGTTAGGTGGGAAGGGATACCCTGTATTCGACCATTCCTTTTCTTTTGTACTCTCTTTGAAGATGCACACTTTGAGGATTAAATTATCCCATATGCCAAGGGTCTTCAAACTTGGCAAGTTTAAGACTTGTGGACTTCAACTCCCAGAATTCCTGAACTAACATGATTGGAGGAGGAATTCTGGGAGTTGAAGTCCACAAGTCTTAAAGCTGTCAGGTTTGAAGACCCCCTGCATATGCAGAGGATTTGCGGAAATGGAATTATGCTGGAGATATTGGTTGGGGACTTTGAGTATTTAAATGTTAAAATGGAGGATCAGGCCAGAAATGACTTACATCCCAGTTGCAATTAAGAGGTTCTTCATTGACTGTCAACCCTTGATGGAAACCAAGTTTCAGGCCAATGAGATTGTAATTTTTAAAAGCCTTGCTCTCAAGAAGCTTTGCTGACTTGATGTATGGAGATAGGAAACTTGGAGATTCCTGCTTTATTCCAGCTGTAAACAGTTGTAAAAATTAGGTTGCCCAACTCCAACATTGGTTATTAGATTGAAACAAATTTATCATTCAAAATGAAAAAAAAACCTTTAGTAATATTAATGTGACTGTTCTCTATGTACTGTAAATCTGAAATAGACAGTATATGTAGATATCAGCAATATGGAATTATATAAATGACTGGAAATCATTTAATTGATAAAATTAAAAGTTTTAAAAAACAAAAAGAATAGTTCATTGGGAACCTAAAGGAAATTAATATGGCTTTCGAGAGATAAATGTTCTACAAAGAAGATGACATATCTAAAAAGTTGATATTTCTGCTAACTTGGGGAGTTGCATCTACAGCTAATCTTAGAAACTAGATGGGTTCATTTTAAGAGAAAAGCAATATTCTAGTTTTTGTTTTTAAGATTTTAAAGATGAACACCAACACTGGAAATTGGTATCAAAACAAACTATTGTGACCTGTTATTGTAATAGCTTACCCACTAATTCTGTTCACTTTTTTTTTAAACTTTAGTCAGAAGGATCCAAGTTACAGAAAGATCTCCGGACCTACCTGACTTCAGTTAAAGGTAATACTTCCAATTATAGTCCTACTGTTTTTGCATGATCTCCTGGAAAGTAAATTCTAGAAGCCACTATTAAGGCTTATCTTACTTGCTTTTGTTTATTGCTGCTAGGTAGTACTATCTGCATTACTTTAGAAAGTTATAATTATGGAACTAGGTAATGGTTGGAATATAGTGGAGGTTAAGAAAAATTTGGAGCAGCCAAATATTATTTATTTCCTAGGGATGTGCTACAGATGGATTCTACTAATATTTTACAAATGCTTCAAGCTATGTCTTGTTTCATCAATTAGGATAGTAAGAGGATAATAAAGAATAGGGGAGATGCTCTATTAGGCTATTAGGCATACAATTAGGTCCCATGATGGTTAAAAAAAATGAGCACCAGGTTTGAAAGCTTGGAGTTAGTCATTTGCTTAATAACAAGTAAATGACATATCTTATACTTTTCAGTTTTCAAGAAGCAGGAGAGATAAGCAATCATAATGCAAATCTCTTTCTGACGGGATCGTGTTCCCTCCTTTTAATTTTGTTCTTACTTTCTTAAAAAAGCTCCACAAAACATAGCTCAGACTAATTATATCAATAGATAGCAATTCCTATTTTAATTATACTATGGTCAGAAACTAGAAACTAGCCATTTAAAAAAGGAACTTAATTTCACTCGTTTATTAAAGAAATAAATTAAATAAAAAATATTAAATCACAAGGGAGTTGATGTGTGTGACCAAGTTTTTTGGTTCATCTATTTTCTTCTTGTTGGAAAACAAATATTATGAATATTAGCAAGTCCTTTATATGTGAGCAAGGTTTTTGCTTGGGTTTTTCTTTGGGGGTGAGGGGGTGAATAATTATTTGGGTGCTATTATGTCATTCTTTTCTATTTCAAAGCAATGCATGAAGCCTCCAAGAGACTTACAGAATGTTTGCAAGATGTATATGAACCTGACTGGCCAGGAAGGGATGACACTAACAAAATAGGAGAGGTGAGGTTTCGATTTCTCACGCATTAGCATGATAAATATATTGTGATCTCAAATTTGTGGAGACAGCAAATGTTAAATTGATTTGGGTGATATGCAATATTGCTGAGCCATAGTGCAGTGTTACACAAATGAATGTGCTTATATCTTAGGCTTGCATATTCTGCCACAAGGAAAAGAAGAGAAGCCATTACTTCCTCTTGATGACTTATCAGTTGGTTTACAAAGTGTTAATTTATTGAAAGATGCCATGGTCATATGCCTTGATTTAATTCTGCTTTGTTTTAATGAACCGTGGTTTGAATTAATTACAGCTTGTCTTTGTTGTAGAATAAAGTTTTGGGGTTAGAAGATGGTGTTTACAATCTTCTCCTTGTGCCTATTGTAGCAAAGCAGGAATGAGGGGGTATTCAAGGAAAAATTCTGAGCTGGCTATTTTTTACTACGCTTATCTATTGTGCACAAATCATGCACAAATCGTGCCAGTTATGATACAATGATATCCTTTTTCCGATACCAAAAATTCCACACAACAAGAAGCAAATAGCATATCTCTTTCATTCACAGCTGGACAGTATGAAACCAGACGGAGGGAACTGTACTGATCCCGAGTATCTAGAAATAATATTTTCCAACTTAATGTGAATGCTAGACACTAGCTGATATTGTAGCTGCTTAGAAAAAAGCAATAGTGAATTGATGGAACCCATCTATCTCATAAAATCCAAACTACTGTAAGATAGGGAAAAAGGCATAGTAACATTTGTCATATAGCAAATATTCCAAGTAAATCTTTTGTTCATGGTGAGTTGAAATTCATCAGTTAGAGCTTTCTTTGTTGTATAAAACAGGTGTCCCCAACCAGGGGTGGGCTTCAAAGTTTTTAGCAAAGGATTCTCTGTCCGATTGCTGGGTGGGCGTGGCTATGGTGGGCATGGCCTAGTCAACCTTCTGCATCATGGTGGGGGGCGTTTTTGCCCTCCCTAGGCTCCGGAGGCTTTCCTTGGGCTCATTTCCGATCTTCCTGAACTTCCGGGAGGCTCGTTTTTTGCCCTCCCCGAGCCCTGCACTTACCTGCATCCAAAACAGGCCGTGTGGTGACTCCTGGGAGGGGTGGGGATGGGTGGGCAGGGCCAGCCAGGAGTGGGATTTAGGGGTTCTCCAAACTGCACAGAATCTTAGCTAGGGGTTAGCTTGTGAACCCCAGCAGCCCACCCCTGTTTCCAACCCCAAGAATTGATCCATGGCCTCATAGGAACTGAGCCACACAGCTATCAATGAGTGGCAGGCAAATGAGTGAAATGGAAACCATTCCCCTTGCCCCGGTCTGTGGAAAAACTGTTTTCCACTATTCCAGTCCCTGGTTCCAAAAAAGTTGGGGGCCGCTGGCGTAGAAGATGCACAAAACTAGTATCTTTGTCCAACTCTTAAATAATTGTAGCTATTACAATTGTCTAGAAAACAAAAACTTCCCAATTTTAGGAATAGATCCTAAGGGTGTTACACAAATGCATACTAAAAAAGGAAGCTTGACCTGCATAATGCACAGATAACCCAACTCTTCCCACATTTCTCCTATTCTCTTCCAGAACAATGACCTGCTTTGGACAGACTTCCATCAGAAACTGGTAGATCAGGCACTGCTGACTATGGACACCTATCTTGGCCAGTTCCCAGACATAAAGGTATGGGTCTCATAAAATTTTGGTCTACCTTAAATTCCCTTTGGAAGGCGAAAGCCACATTAGCAGTGAAACAAAAGAAGGAGTGTTTAAAAAGACAGTAATAAATGTGGGGCCACCTAATATAACAGATACCCCTGCCTTACATTTTCATCTTCATGAGCATAGGAGAGCTTGAGGATTTTTAAGAAAAATATTGTTGCATTTATTCTGTTTCAAAAGGCCTTTTAAAACTAATATTCATACCAAAATGTGCAATCCAGAATTAAGTATTTATAATAGTATTTGAGGTGGGGGCTGAGGCACTGAGCAGATTCTGGCCAGCTAACTGTTGGAGGCCTCTACTCCAGAGCCTGCTCACTGATTTAGCTCTGGCACCCTTGTCCATTAATAGGATGTCAGCTGATTGTTGGAAATAGGCTCTGGCTGATGAATATAGGGAGGCTGCATAACCCACTGGGAGGACTTCCATTGACCAGCAGTGGTTTCTAGAGCCACACTTCCAGAACCACTAATGTAAGGAATTCTACACTCTCTGCAAGGTAGAAGATATTTATTTTGGGAAAAATGTATATATGGATTGGTGCATTAGGCTCACAGGCACCCATCCTGTTCTTCAGCCTCTTTGTAATAAACATACCTGATATACAGAATTTTACAAAGTCCTTTCATATTCTCTTGGATGCAACTTATAGAGTGGCTTATAATGATAATATAATTTGTATTCCGCATTTGACTACCATCCAAAAAATTATGAAGTGAATAAAAATACATTTAAGATAGTCAAATGATAAAATAGAAAGCTGACAATAATAGAACTGAAATAGAAATATGTAAAGAAAACAAGATTACTGAAGTCCTATATTTATCTCTTTTTGATTGCTAAGAGTCAACAATGACATAATCAATCAATTAATCATTCAATAGTTGTCCAAATGGTGAATCTTAGAGTATCAATAACAATGTTTTTGTTCTAAATGAAATAGAGTAATTGAAGTAGCTTGATTTATTTTATTCAAAATATAAAACTTAATAAAACCATACAATGCAAGTCACATCAGAAACCATTGTTCAATATGATGAAAAAACCCTTCTATGTTCTGAATGGATCGTAAGTACTATTGGGCTTCACACTTTTAACATGCACAAATATTTTCTTTTTTATAATTCCTTGTTTTCATTTTTTTAGTAATATATTTTGGAAAACAGAAGTTTGGTTTTTGCTGTGGAAAACTGGCTCTAATTTTTTATTGTCTCGTGACCTTAAGCTAATGAAAAATTAGCATGGTATCTATATTAGTCTTTCTTTCCTGTTTCATTTCTCAAAGTTCCCAAAGCAAAAATGCATCAGCAACAACAAGGTGTTCTTTTAAGTGCTATTTTACTACTGTCACTCTAGGAACAATATACAATATTCAGAGTGTGCAAAAAGTTCATTCAACTGAAGATGCAATATGTTATGTATGCATCATAATAATTTAAGTAGTTCCATTTCTTTCAGTTTTTTAAAGAAATGACATAGAATGATATAGAAAGGAATTTTGAAAAGAACACAAACATCTATGTTTCAAATTAAAATACTTTAGAAGAGAGACATACTTGAGTAAAAATATTAAGGCATTAGGATTAGTGTTGCGTTAAGGAGGAAATGGGAAAGCTGTAAGGTGAAGTTGTACAGTATAAAGTCATTGTATCTCATGTCAACTTCTCTCAGAAGGTTAATCTGAAGATAAAAACACAATAATGTGGGGCTCCAACCTTCCACTCAGCCAGCTAATACTCCATCCAGATAACTGGTAGAAAGAAAAAACTCCAACCCTCTCCTTTCGTTACCATTAGTGCATTTGCCAATTGGTGAGTGTGTCTGTGAGTGTAGGTCTGTGCATTGGAAATTTCAGGATATACATTGGGAGAAAAGTTGAAACAATTTACATTGATCTTAGATAGATTTCAGGAGCTTAATTACAAGACAGTTGCTCGTTGGTTACGTAATTGGCAGAATATATATACATTGGTCTATCAATAATGTTACTTCACGGCTCTGGTGTTCTTCTCACATCTCCTTTCAGTCCCGCATTGCTAAACGGGGAAGAAAACTTGTAGACTATGACAGTGCCAGGCATCATTATGAATCTCTTCAAACTGCAAAGAAGAAAGATGATGCTAAAATTGCCAAGGTAAAAAGCCCTTGTAAGAGGTGGTATAGCTACTTTCTCTCTATTTGTTCTGAATCAAGTTATTTAGGGTATTTGTGTATCTCTCTCTCTCTCTCTCTCTCTCTCTCCCTCCCCCCCCCCCCCCCTCCCCCCCCCCCTCTCTCTCTCTCTCTCCTTTTTGTTGTTAGAAGTAAAAAAAAACAAAGTACCCAAACTTTAGAATCCCTAACAAACATGATTTTATCTTATGATTAAAACGATGTAAAAACTATTATTTACAGCTGAAATGGAAAATCTACTGTGTCAATGCTAAAAGGAAAATAAAAACTAAATGAGGAAACAAGAAGCCTTAGAGCCTAGTGGGTGGAAAAACTTAGTGTAGAAAGTGCTCTATTAGTATTCCTTTACTCTTGCATTAATGAAGCATTTAGGGATTTTGGCTAATCTACACTTCTCTGATTGGACTGCTTGTGTCATGGGGCAAAATGATTTTGCTCGCAAAAATTGTTCAGGCTTTTTCTGGTGAGAGGCATCTGCCTTTTTGAATGGAAATAAATGCTCTGTGTTTTTATCAATGACCATGGCAGAGACTGCTGATGACACAAATTAAGGATATCAGCAGAAGTGATTTTGTGAAATTCAGATTAAACATTTTCTCAATCAAGCTTCTCTCTCTGACTATTGTTCCTTGTGCTCTGAAAAATCTAATCATATCACTAATGGAGGGGGGGATATTTTTCAATTCTGTAAAGTCCTCAGTTCATTTTAAATGATCTGCTCTAAGATCTTATGGATGTTTAAATAAGTGCTATTGTGGTTAATGCAAATTATTCCCACCTTAGATTTAGACAGTTGTCACCCTCTGATGTTTAAATCAAATGCTACAAAATATGAATAATCTGCATGGCTGTTATAATGAAGTTGTCTTTTAATCTTGGCTCCTTTTGAAGTTGCTAATGACCTATGAAGAGAGACTAAGTAAGGTTGGATTGTGTTGCTTTCTACATGACTAACCAATTCTTCTCTGTTGCTCTCTGCAGCTGGAGTGTTTATAAGCTGTGCTCACTCTGGAGGTCATTGATCATTCTGTGGAGCATTAATTACTGCTATATTTAGCATGTCATATAGGATTCATCCTTGACTTATCACTTAATACTGACTTCTTCTGTTTGTTGTTGTTGTTGTTGGGATGATTGGTTCATCCTGACCTTTATTATTTGATTTTTTTTTAAAAAAGTAATTCTCAAAAAGTGTCTGTTTTCTTCTTGTCTTTGTCCTGGATATGCTCTTGCCCAGCCTGTTTCGTTGCTTGAGAAAGCCACGCCTCAGTGGTGCCAAGGGAAGCTACAAGCGCATCTCGTAGCTCAAACTAACCTGCTGCGGAATCAGGTGATAGTCCAGCCTGCCTTGCTGTCTAACCCCGCACGTGCTATTTCTGGCTGAAGCTCTCTTCTGTGCTTATTCCCCAGGCAGCGTTCACTCTAACCTCTCCTAGAAGGTTTCTTTTCTCTGGGAGGAATGTTGGCTTAAAATTCAGACTTCTTGAAGCCAAAAACATATTTGAGAAGGCGATGTAGTTTCTCTGATTTTGCATTCCCCTAGATTAATAATACTTGGTACCTTGGTCCTCATCAGCAATTAAATGTAGGTTGTATCCAGTGAGAAGATAGGATAGAAGGTGGGGGAGTGGCTCCAGTAGTTACTATTTAATTTGTGTGTGGCAACTGGTTTTGCTTAATTAGAAGTAGTGTTCCTCTAGGACAGGGGTGTCAAACTCGATTTCATTGAGGGCCGCATTGGGGTTGTGTCTGGGATGGGATGGGGTGGGGTGGGGTGGTTAGGAGGGGCATGGAGGGGCATGGCCAGCTCAACGTCACTCAGGTCAGGAGCTCCTTTGGTAGCCTGAGTGCTCTGCCAGCGAAAATGGGCTCCTGAACTCCGTTTCTGGCTGTGACAGCCTCCCGCAACCCTCTGCCAGCAAAAATGGAGCTCATGAGGGCTGCACGCTTCATTTTTGCTGGCGGAGGCATCACTGGGCACCCCGTCAGGGCCACATCTGGCCTCCAGGCATTGAATTTGACACCTGGCCTAGGAGTTTCTAATTGCTCAATCATGATCCAATGTTTCTGGATCCTGAGACCTATGGATGACAAGGAGGAGAGGCAAGTATATACCTACATATTATACAATAGTCTCTTCTTGTTATTATAGTATGATTTCTTATACTCAGTCCTTATAAAAGGTTTTGTAGCAAGGCTTATTATTTTGATTAACTCACCAACTCTTAAAGTCCTTCACTCTCACCCAAATTTTAGGCTGGTTGACCATAGTTCTTGGTCAACAGTTACTCTTCTCTTTCATTCACTCAGCCCTTAAATCCCAGGATTGTTCCATTCTCATGTCTCTTTCCCTTCACCACTCTCTATGTAATAAGCAAGGAGAAGAGGATCTGCAGCTGCAGCTGCCAAAAAAGCCAACAGAGTCCTAGGCTGTATTAACAGAGGGATGGAATCAAGATCATGTGAATTGTTAATACCATTTTATAATGTCTTGGTAAGACCACTAAAACATTGGTTTTGGTCACCATAATGTAAAAAAGATTTTGAGACTCTAAAAAGAGTGCAGAGAAGAACAACAAATATTAGGGGACTGGGGGCCAAAATGTATAAAAAATGGTTGCTGGAAGGACTAGGGATGACATGATAGAGTGTTCCAATATCTCAGGGGCTGCCACAAAGAAGAGGGAGTCAAGCTATTCTCCAAAGCATCTGAAGGCAGAACAAAAAGCAATGGATGGAAACTCTAAGAGAGAGGCTAGAACTAAGGAGAAATTTCCTGACAGAATAATTAATCAGTGGAACAACTTGCCTTCAGAAGTTGTGAATGCTCCAACCCTGGAAGTTGTAAAGAGATTGGACAACCATTTGTCTGAAATGTTTTGGGTTTCCTGTCTGAAATGGTACAAGTGGTTGGACTAGAAGACCTCTAAGGTCCCTTCCAACTCTCTTATTTTGTTGTTTTAAAGTTCCCTGTATGGGCTTCTTTCTGGTTTTCAGCTTCTGTTTGTTAGATATTATTTTATAGCTTAACTTTTTATAAAATCCAGATGTTTTTTAAATAAATGTATAACAAGCTTTAAGTCTATAATTTTGAAGTCTTGTTCTGCTTTATGATTAAGAATGTCTCTGGACAATGTAGCCTTTCCTCTAAAATCATTTGAAGAATAACGTGCCAGTAAATAAAATCCTGCCAAAAACTTTGAACATCCAAAAGCCTTATGGGAAACAACATGGTAATAAGTGAATAAGAGTTATCAGATGTCTGTTTTCCATGAGGAACAGAAATAAAGACCAGGGTAGTATATTGTGTTTTAACAAAGGACACACTTGCAAAGTGTGTCCATTAAATGAAGCAAGGAACTAAATAAAAGAAAAAAAGAGCAAATATTGGAGGCCACAACTTATTGTTTTGAACTAAAGAAACCAGTTTCCTTTTTTGTGGCTTGTCTGAGCTGATCAGTGAATTAGTTTAATTAACTGCTGGATACTTTAAACCCAGCTTCTCAAATTCCAGATGGCTTGGATTACTATCAGTCCTGACCACTGGCTATATTAATTTGGACTGATGAGAATTTTGGGTGGTCTGTATCTGGATTGAAACAGGTCTTTAGCCCAGATGTGTGTTCCAGCATTTCTTTGGGGAAAGAGTGTGCCAAAATTCAAACATCATCAGTGGTAGCTAAGGGGAGGTAGGAAAAATATGTCACTGGGAATAGTGGGTGAATTGGTTAGATTTGCAGCTGTTGAAACCAAGGAAGTTGTCGTTATTGGTGGTGGCTAAGGAAAGGTAGACAAAAGAACATCGTAGAAGGATTAGGATTAGGGATGCAGTGGCTCAGTGGCTAAGACGCTGAATTTGTCGATCAGAAAGGTTGGCAGTTCGGTGGTTCGAATCCCTAGCACCGCATAATGGGGTGAGCTCCCATTACTTGTCCCAGCTTCTGCCAACGTAGCAGTTCGAAAACATGTAAAAATGCAAGTAGAAAAATAGGGACCACCTTTGGCATTTAGTCATGCTGGCCACATGACCACAGAAATGTCTTCGGACAGTGCTGGCTCTTTGGCTTTGTAACGGAGGTGAGCACCGCCCCCTAGAGCTGGAAATGACTAGCATGTAGGATTAGATGGATTGAATTGGCTTGAAACCAATTGGCTTCAAATATGACAGACAAACTTGGCAACTTTAAGACTTGTGGACTTCAACTCCCAGAATTCCTCAGCCAGCATAGCTGAAGTCCACAAGTCTTAAAGTTGCCAAGTTTGGGGACCCCTGAAATATGACATAGCCAAGCGACTTCCTGTCTCCAATCTCCACAGCGTTTCCCCTCCTTTACTCCCCCTTAACCACTCCTAATGTCCACCTGGGAATGGTTCATCTGAACTTCTAAATTTCAGGTTCAAAACATTCAAAACAAACATATGGTTTATGTATGTTATAGAATGAGTTTCCTTTGGTAAGTGAGCTAATTTTTAATTCCTCGTTTCTTGCCATAATCTCTATCTAAGATAGGCAATAAATGACATGGAGGTAGATTTACATTTTTTCTATAAGAAAGATGAGGGGAGGTGTTTCAAGAGAGTAGAAATAAATGATCACTCTAGCTGTGTTCTCTTTTGGAATATATTTCGGAAGGTTGATGAGTTAAATTGCTTAAGACAGCAAATTCCTGTCTTCCTACAACCCCATTGAAATGCTAACTAAAAGCGTACAGAGGCTTTCTTTGTACAATTGGCCCTGATTCAACTATGTATAAAGAAATTCTTTTTCTTTATGTTCATGACTCAAATGGGCAGCTGATTCATTTTGCTGAGTTTTGGAATTCTTCAGCAGGATGAAAATAAGTCACACTGAAATCTAATATTTAAAAAAAATCAAATTAAAAAAATATAAATCTGCAGAGGTTGGCACCTGAAATTTGAATGAATCCAGATGACATAAACAAGTAGTTTATATGTTAGCAAATGGTACAGAGGTGACATATATTGCTAAAACACTGACTAATAGGATTAGTATCTTAAAAGATTAAAAATTACATGGATATAAAAAGTCTAGAAAAGGCAGATCGCTGAGGTGACTTGTTCTACAGAAACTTCACCCCCAAAGTATTGATTAGTTTCTGAGTTATATTTGATAAGTTAAAAAAAAGGCAAATTGAAAGAACTATTGTGGTCCAATGAATAGTGCTTGTTCATGGAATTAAAATGCTTGCTTGCATAGCTGTTTATTGTAAGATTTATATATCACTTCAATCCAAACAGCTTTAAGCAATACATATCAGAGTATATATCAACAAAGATGACACATCATATAGAAACAATGATATTAAAACATATCCAATTTTTCAGAAATGTCTTGAAGGGTTTCCTGTTAATTGATCAAATTCCATTTCTGCCGTTTCCCATACAATTTCTCAACTGTTGTAAAAACAGAATTGTATAAAGTTGCCACAAGATCTATGTAGCAAGCTAGAATTTGTGCATGATATTCTTGGTGAGATTTATTTTTGATTCCTTTTTTGCCTGTTCAGTTTTGTATTGTATTGCATTGTATAGCAAAGCAATATTTTTATATTTTATATTATTTTCATTAATTTGCCTTAAGATAAAGAGACAAATAATTATCATAATAACTATTTTGTTGAGTGCTGCCAAGGGGACTCCCATGGAAAACCATAGTATTGCAATTGGGTTTTAGAGCCTCTTATTGTTTCTTCATAGAGTGAACGTTGCCTTGGGTATTTCTGTCTCACAATATTGGGATATTTCAATGTAGATATCAACTTTTTAGATCTTAGAGCATGAATAATTCTGTCTGCTGAAAATGTAAAAGTAGACTAGCTCAGTATTAAGATTCCAAGTAATAATGTTCTATACAGTTTGTTTACTCCAAACCCCCAACTTTGCTATTAATTTCTGTTCATTGCTTAATTCAAGTATTCATCAATATCAAATCCTGTGACACTCTGCCCTCATTCTTAGAAAATCCCCAATCAGGCACCAGGCTAATATAGAATATATCTTAGCATATATCTTCACAAAGAAAATATATTTCTCCTTTAACCAAAGAATCTGATTTGTGTTGCTTCTATTAGCACCTTATAAGAATGATTAAAGTTTTCTGAGAATTTCTTTTCAAGGACAGAGGCCTGTATATATTTATTAGGGACCTCTTAACATTCCTGCCATTGATTGGCATATAAGCAGTTTCTTTTTTGTTCTTGCTACTGAATTGGTAAGAATCCAGCTTCAGTATTTATCCATATTATGGTAGACCATAAATGATATAAAATGAAACCTCTGTGCATTTACTGCTTAAATATTCTATTTCGCCAGTCTATAGATACATATATCCCCACTGCTTGCACTTTGGTAGGCTCTTTAAAACTTTGTGCTAGTGCTAATCATCTGGGGAGTATCAAACATTTTTATTAGTTTTACTCTGAACTGAATATTGCATAATTGCATTACCATAGAATTCCAGAAGTCTGTGTATATGTAATAATCCTTAGTGGTATGCAGACCACCATTTCCAACATTCTTGACAATGTGTTCTGGGAATGAACTAGAGTAAGAGGTAGCTTTGTAGAAATGGCTTTTGTAACTCCCCATATTAGCCACATAACCCGTTTCCATTTCTGCAGTCACATACTGGATTTCTCACATTTATTGGGAACAGATGGCCTGCATCTGAGGCCATCTGAGGAAGTAGAAGGCAATGTAGAACACTTCTATCAGCTCGAGGTGCAAGTGGACTTTAACTGGCATTCTAATGAGGCCAATATCAGTTTATCTTTGTACAAAGTAGACATCAGTTTTTCTTTATAGTGACCAAAGCTTAGTTGTCAGGATCTTCTCCCTCAGTCCTCAGTGAGAAAGAGATGGATTTATGGGATCTTGACCAGCTTTGTCAAACCTTGAAAGGTAAGAATACTGGGCTCCTGGGAAAATTGAGGTATTGTTACCACCTCCATTTGTTTGCATTAACAACCTGCTTAGTTTGCCAGCCCATATCCTAGTAAATGTATTCTAGATCTCCATATATACTACATGTAAACTCTCTTCTGAATGATTGCATATGGGTTTGTTGATACCCTACAGGCTGAAGAAGAATTAGTAAAAGCCCAGAAAGTATTTGAAGAGATGAATATTGATCTTCAGGAAGAACTGCCTTCACTATGGAATAGGTGAGCACTGAAAAAAATGCTCTTTATTCTACCTATGGTATATATTTCTGGAATGAAGCTGAGGGTCTCGGTGGAGGAATTTACAAGATCTTGATTGGTTTTTGATCCAATGAAGCTCAACCAAAGTATTCTGTCCATGCTGTTTCTTTTGCTAAATCACATATTCCATCCTGCAGCAGGAGTCGAGGACATGAAAGCTGATTAGCGAGTGGGGTAAAGTTGAAGGATAAACATCTGCCTATATCTCTATTGACTTGTACTGTTTTATTTTCTAGTCGTGTTGGTTTCTATGTCAACACATTCCAGAGTATTGCTGGCTTAGAAGAGAATTTTCATAAGGAAATGGGCAAGGTAAAGTTGCAAGGCATTCTTCTTCCTATTGGTATACATAGTTCTCCATCCTTTTTTTTATTAGAAGGCAATAGTGTTAGCTGATGATGCTCAGGGATGCTGACACAGTTCTTAAATAACTGTTAAGGTACCCCTTCTGAAAACAGACTAGGCCATATTTTGAAGGCATTATCAGTAGCAATCTTCTGGAAGATAAACAGTTCCAAGTTTGGATAGTGCCTAAAACTGCCTCGGTATATTATGCATGCTTCCTTAAGATCTATTAGTGAAAAAATATGAGAGGAAAAAAAAAAGATCATTATATGAGGCCCTACTTCCTTGTTTTTCTATAGATCTACTTTTTTGTAGGTCAGATGACTTCTATCCATCAATTTATATTACGATTTGGAAGGCTGGAGCCAATGCCCTTATATGTGTGAAAGCTTATCAATGATTAAACTCAGTGGTTAATGGTGTATATACTACTAATATATACAGTTTTTAACTGACGAAACTACTCAGTTGCTTTTCAAAAATTGCTTGCCAGTGAAACATATTCTGAATTTCTAGTGACTGTGCCATATTTTACTTCAATATCATGGATAAAGAATTTACCCCTTCAGAGCAGCATAAATGATCTTTCTCTTCCCTTGTACAAATAACTTGACAAGGAATCAGGAAGACCACAGTTTAAAAGAGGAAATTAAAAGAAGGAAATTATATGCATTGGTTTACATAAACCTGTAACTTAATCATCTTTGCTTAGAATTTAAAATCCTGTACCAGGCAATAGAAAAAGCAGGTTGGAACATGTCAAAATTTAAAGGAGAATATATAAGGGGTGTCAAATGACTAGATACAAATTGTCAAAAGGTATATTAAGAGGAAAGTGGTAAAGTTGTTGAAAGATTCTACCAATCTTTTAACAAGGAGTTCAGGTTTGTATAATATAAACTTTCAAGGCAGATATTGCCTGGTTCCATGCCTTTGCATTAATGAGACTTCCAAAAAGGGTCCTAAAAACTAGACACTCCAAGGAGGGAATTTGTATAGCTCATGTTTTGCTCATATTTCTAAGCTATTATATAGATATATATTTAAGTATTATGTACTGTGAGCCACAGAAGATTTAATAGTATGGATGGCAATGTACAGTAAGCTTAATGAAATTGTCAACTTACATGGTATTTGATCCATTGATTTGATCAAATGGATGTCGTAGCCAGACATTCAAAAGTAATCCACCAAAATAGACATTTTTCAGCTAAGAAAACATATTCCTGTCACAGTTCAGCTAAGGCATTTAAAGTCTTTACAACAAGTGAGAAAAACAGAGAGGTGGACTACTAATAGCTAAGCTGAACTGAAGTTTCACATTGTTTACAGTGTGAGTATACTTTCCCATAGCAGACAGTGTGGGTATACTTTCCCATAACTTATGGGAGCAATTTGAATATAGAAGTGCCAGAACCAGGCCACATTAACACTTATCAAAAGTGCTTTCCATTCTACCAACAGCAGAACAGTTTATGAGATAAAACCCTGACTAGTCTGTTTCTCTGGGGTAATCAAAGCTGATCCTGTTTCTTCCATTCCCCACCTCCAGCAAAAGTAATGCCAAAAGATAATCTGCATTTCTTTATAGTCAGATTGGCCCATGGACCTGCTGCAGTGGCTGGCATGGGCTGCAAGCCTAGATGAACTACTTCCCACAGGCTATTTCCACTAGTTTGGCCTGATTTCTTATTTAGTGACAGACTAAGATTGCACAGCAACCTAGGCTGGCAATGGGATGGGAAGATAGAGAGAAGGAAGATGACATTAAGTCCCAATGAGAAATAAAGAGTCTGTATGGATGGAAGAGCCTGGAACAGTACAAATATGTGAGTCAGAGGAGGAGAAAATGAAGAAACATGAACTGAACGTATTATTATCATCTGTGCATATGTCACAGATTTTGCTCATATGACATCTGTTTCAAAAGATGTCCTTAGTGCAGTCAGTGAGGTAATATAAATAAATAGCAGAATCCTTCCCTTAGCAAAATAACCCTCTTTTGGGATCCTGAGTATACCAACATATTTCTAATAGGCTCTTTGTTATACTGACCTGTAATTTCTTTTCCTATTTTGAACTTTTGTTTATTTATTGTCTCAGTTAAACCAAAACCTGAATGATGTCCTTGTGACTCTAGAGAAAGAACATGCAACAAGCACCTATCCTGTTAAAGCTCAGCCAAGGTTAGTATGTGTAAACCAATGTGTAGGTTTATATACAATGCATAGTATAGAATGTAAAAAAAATCTTTATTAAAAGCTGGGCAACAGCACCACATCTGTCTGTCTTATTTTCTAGTATCTTTTGACCATTATATTGTTTCTCTCTCCTTCCATCCCAGGAAATATTCCCACAGTGCTTTTCATGGTTAAATGCCATTTCCCTTTCAGCACCAGAACAAAACCTAGACCAAAATGAGTATGGAGGTATATGTGTTTGTGTGTGTATAATAATTTAACATAAACACATCTTTTAAAAATATACCTACTGGAATGGCAGGAAAAAGGAAGAAATGTTGTAAAAGAGTAGGAACCCCTGCATTTGTTTACTTATGGGTGAATCCTTTAGTTTTCAGATATATTTATCCCTAGATGGGTCTTTTGAAATGTAGCAGTTGACATTTTTATGGAGATACAATGATGGGAAAAATACATTTCAGTTGGGCTAAAGTTTAATTTGCCAGAATTGATTCTGTTATAACATAGTCTTCTTGGCACAATATTCTGATTTCCATATCTTTGTGTACATCAGCGTAAGTATATCTAATAGAACTAATCACATATTCTTTTCCCATTTATCCTTGTCTCCATTTTCCTTCCTCCCTCTGTTGTTTCCTCTGTCAATTTTTAGATTGTAAGCTCCTCGGGGCAGGGACTTGTTGTCTTGTACTGTGTAAAATGCCATGCACATTGATGGTGCTATATAAATAATAATAAATAATAATAAACCATATTCTCAGCTCTGGGGCTAAAGGCTGGCCCTTTGAGCTCCTTGACTCTGTTACTTATGATTTATATTATTAAGGATCACAGCTCCATATCAGATACCCTTTATCACAATTCCGTAAAAAGAGATTAGATTTACACAATAAATGTATCTACAATGTCGACCGTAAGGCTGAATATATTAATAAATCAAGACAGTGCAATTCTGGCATGCAGTAATACACAATGGCTACATTTAGATGATCTTGAATGTTGCGGGATCCAATCTGGGTCAGTCATGGGACCAGAGTTTGTGCTGTTCTGTGTGTGATATTTATATGGTGCCTGTTGTATGTGGCTTTTAGATGCTGATTGGGGTGTGTTGATGGCTGGCTTTTAAGTCATTGGCTGTCATTTGTCTGTGCTGCCCAGCCCTTGCCTTTTATGTACTTGATAGGCTGGTGGTAAAACAGCACTCTTGTTGACTGACAAGGGGCCTGTTTCTCAGGCTTCAATCACTTCCCTGGCTGTTTTTGTGCCTGCTTGTCCAATAATCTTAGTAGCTGCAAAGTTGAATGTGTGTCCTTGTTCATTGCAATGTGAGGCTATCAATGAGTTTGGGTCTCCTCATTTAATGTCTCGAACCAATGAGTTCAAGGAGCTACTAAGGTTGTTGGATGAGCAGGCACAAAAACAGCCAGGTTTGAAGATTGAAGCCTGGGAAACAGGCCCCTGGTCAGTCAATAGAAGTGCTGATTTACCATCAGCTTATCAAGTACTTAAAAGGCGACGGGCTGGGCAGCACAATCAAAGGACAGCCAACAACTTAAAAGCTAGTCATCAACACACCCTAATCAGCATCTAAAAAGTCGCATACAATAGGCACCATACAAATATCACACACAAAACAGCACAAACCCTCCTAGACAGAAGTTCAGTGGTGGTATTCAGCCAGTTCGCACCGGATCGGGTGAACTGGTAGCTAGGATTGGCATGGGTTGCCGAACCAGTAGTAAGTTCTGGCTGGCCATGCCCCCAACCCAGTTGCCAAGTCACCGCTGGCTTGCTTCCTCTGCCTGCCCGATGCTTGCTCACCCTGCCCACTTAACGCTGGCCCCTTAAGGTATTTCTTTCTTTTTTTTCCCTCCTGACAATCAGCTGCTCATACGATCAGCTGTGCTGGAATTCCCTTTGCTGAGGCCCAGGGAGGGAAAAAATGGAGGGAAGGGCTCAACCCCCTCCATTTTTTGCCTTCCTGAGCCCCAGAGGAGCCTTCTGGGAGCAAAAACGCCCCCCAGAGGCTCTTCTGAGGCCAGGAAGGTCCCAAAACAGAATGTGGAGGGGTGCTGCATGCCCCTCCCATGCTCTGTTTTTTTTCTTCCTGAGCCCCAAAGGAGCCTTCTGGGAGCAAAAATGCCGCCCCCCCAGGGGCTCCTCTGAGGCCAGAAGGCCCCAAAAAACGGGTGGGAGGGTAGCTGCAAAAAAAGCCATGCCCACCCAGTCACATGGCCATGCCCACCTAGCCGTGCCCACCAAACCACGCCCACAGAACCGGTAGTAAAAAAAATTGAATCCCACCACTGCAGAAGTTTCCTGAAGATGGTCTCCAGCATGTGTCTGATATCTCAGAAGACAAAACCTCTTGTCCCAGTGACCGACCCAGATTGGATCCTGCAGCATTATCCTGGAATACGTATATTTGCCTTCATTTGTAATCATGAATATGTTTATCTGAACTGGAAAACAGACCAATGCATATACACAAATAATACTATAAAAGATGGATCATAACATTTTTAGTTTTGTTTTAAAAGTAAAGATATTTTTGAATTGCTTTAGGAAATTCAAACAAAGTTGGTGAAATTTCTTTGATTTACCCCCACCACACACAAACATGTTGTATGGTTATTATTGATGCATTTAGTATTTACTAATGAATTTACTATTAAATTCATTTGGTTTTTTTGAACAATACTATGAAATTCTTTGTGAAGTTAGTCACTACAGTTATATGTTTAAGCCAATTCTAAGAAGAGGCAGGGATAGGAACAGAACATAACATCTGCCAAGTTTTTTTCCATATACAGTATTTTATACACAACACACACAATATTTTCACCAACCTTCAGCTCATACATTTAAGAGGAAAGCTGGCCTCACTTTTTGGTTTCTGACTTTTATCCAAAGATGTGAATGATGAAGCAGTTTGGGAACTTAGACTCCCAGCTGCTCTGAATTTGCATTAATGAGATGCAATGTGCCAAGCCATCATTAAGGAAGGGATTATACTTGTGTACTTCTTGTTGGAAAGCAAACTGAAGTGATCTTGCTTCCTTATTTTTGCAAAACTACTCCTACGTACAAAATAGAACAAAGGGAAGATGAATATGGAAAATGAATTGATATCAGAAAATCTAGCAGTTCCTGTGTTCTCGGCAATGAATGGAACTCTAGGTTTTTCAAAGAGAGAGAGGGAGAGGAGAGAGAGAAATTGCAAATCCTTTATAAATCACTTTCACTAAATAAAACAGATCTGTGATAAAATAAGATTTTTTTATATTTGTTCAGTCTCTGAACAAATGAAGAATGAAGAAAGAGCAAAAGTGGCTGAATAAATATACTGTATAATAAATCACCAAGTATATGTAGCAATAAGCAGAGAAAGAAGAACTTAGGTGTGGTCTGTCTAGATTTGTACTTTAAACACTAAACTGGGAGAAAACCACATTATAGTTAGTGGGGTTGATTTTTGAGTAAATATGCATTTGTTTTCTTAATGCATAGTGACCATGACCAGAATAATTTGATTTCTTTAAATGAAGTTTATTTTATTCTTTTTACTTGGATCGATCTAATTTTAATACAGTGATTATTTCACTGCTCTAGATTCCTTTCTGTTGATATCTCATCTGAAAGGAGTCATTCTATGCTTGAAACAATTATTTGTTTTGCTTTTTCTTTGAAGTCTGGCTAAATAACATTGGTTTAGGCATCCCAGTTGAACTGAAGCTAAAAATAAGGTTTCAGAAAAAAAATGCAAGACTGAAATAAACGTGGGAACTAAGCACTATTGTATCAGTTATATTTAAAAGCCAAAAGAATTTCATAAAATAACTTATCTGTGTACTTTGGAAATAGAGATGGAAAAAAGAACTTGTATATCAATGACAGTGCAGAAAGGATATGAAAACCCATCATAAGAAAAATATTATGGGAAAGCATAAGGATCCTGACTTGACATCCGTTTTCAGCTGATATCATTCGAAGTACAACAATAGTTCAAACAGTTTATGTTTTGTGGGAACATATTTTTCAGGACATATTTAAAAACCCTCACCCATTCTGTGCCATAATTTAATGTCAAATTAATGTCTGGTTGGATAGTTATTAAGAAAATATGTAACTGACCAAATCCATGGGGCTATGGGGCTTTTGACAGTACATTAGTGCTGCGATTCCCAATTGCATTGGATGATTTCCATGTTAATGTTTAAAGAAGATCAGTTTTCTCAAATTACAAAAAGACACTTTCAAGGCTCACTGTGTTCACTGATCTTATGATAGATGAGGAAACACCAGTTGCCAAAGCATAGCCCTCTGCTATAACTATTGCGTATTTTTCAGCCCGGTTCCACATCCACTTTTCTTTTCCAGTACAGCTCTGAGGTAATCTCAGGATGAGTGGTGACATCTATCCTTCTCTTGCTCTTCCATTCACTGGGCACTGACATAGCACTTAATGGGTATATTTTTTCATTGAAAATGTCCAGTGTGGGTACCTTTTACTATGCTAAGATGACCCACTGGGCCACATTTTAGTTCCTCTATGAACGAATATCTTCACAGTAATTGCATTAGCTCATGCACGGAATCTTCACCTTTCTTTCTCATTGGTTGAGCCGTGTTGTAATGGAGATCACTTACGTGTGCCGTCCTCAACAGAAAGAAAACTAAACTCTTCTCCAGGCTGAGGAAAAAGATGAGCAGGTACCAGAATGGCAAAAGTGGCCTGATTTGGATGACAAAAGCAAAGTGGTCTGATTTGGATGACAAAAGCTGCATTCTAACAGCATAGTGCAATGATAGCTTGATAATGTAGATGTTTTTCCTTTTTTTCCTCTGCATGATTTAAACCCCTTTCTCTTAGAATTGTTTGAGATTGCCTTTGTGTGTGTCTGAATAATCCAAATATTTTATTGTTTGCTTTAATTCAATTCTCCCCCCCAAAAAACATTTTCAGTGGAAGATTATCTATGGCCTTTATGCTTCCTAATACATTTCTCAAGGATAACTGTAATACTATGTGCTGTGTACCTAGAAAAAAAATGCTAATTAGGGCAACCAGATAACCTAACACTGTTTGCTTTAGTGGGTTATGATATTGGATCCTCCCACATGAAAAAAGGGCATTGATTTTCCTTTAAAGAGCTGTGGTGGCGCAGTGGTTAAAATGGAGTACTGCAGCTAATTCTGCTGACTGCCGGCTGCCAGCAGTTTGGCGGTTCGAGTCTCACCGGCTCAAGGTTGACTCATCCTTCCATCCTCCCAAAGTTGGTAAAATGAGGACCCAGATTGTTGGGGCAATATGCTTACTCTGTAAACCACTTGGAGAGGGCTGTAAAGCACTGTGCTACTGCTATTTAATGTTTCAAACTAAAGTGAGGCCATATTTTATGTATACTGTGCACAGCTAGTAGGACTACCAAGTTAGATTTGAACTAAGGCCTCTTAGCTTAAGGACACTAAGGGTACTACTTCACTAGAATTTTGTGTATAAATTGTTGTGAATTTTTCTTGATATTTGTAAAGCTTATGTAATCCCTTTGCAAGAGCTTAAGTTAATGTGTTGCAGCAATAGGTATAACAGTGCTGAACGATGATAGACCTTTGCAGTTAGAGCAACTGTGGATAAAATTCCAGCATTTATTTGAAGAATAGGCAAGTTCATATATTCATAAATAGATTTTTGTTGTTTGTTTCAGAGAAATTGTTATGTAGCCAGACAATTTGGTCCTATTTCCTCATGCCTTCCACAATAGAAGTGGTGAATTATAATAGTGCTCCTGTTCTTTATTCATATTCTGTTGGCTGGCCTCCCAAAATATTCAAATTTTGAAGCTGGTTGCCAAGTTATTATGGTATGATCGAAGTTTCCTTTTAAACATATTTGCAATCAGTTCATGAAAGGAGAGAAGGAGGAAAATGAGCTCTTTATTCCATTCAGATTCTGAGAAAGGAGCCCTTGTGACTTTGGTTGTTCCTTTGTGAACGTCAGTTGGAAAAGTAACTTCTTCTTTTTTTCTTTGCTTTTTTGTGATGTGGTCACAAATCATGATATCTATCTTGACTATCAGGTATGGGTGGGGATGGGGGGAACTGCCTAGAAGGGACTTCAATAGAGAGAAAAAGCTAAATCACTATTTGGAGTACATGGTATTTTATGACAAACTATTGTAATAAGTATTTTCTGTACTAACTAGCTTGCTGAGTAAATATGCATGATGGCTGCTATGACTAAGTGATAAAAAGTGTGTAAAAAAGAGTTATCAATTGTTTTCTTTCTACCAGCTGTCTGTCTTTTGATAATGTTTGGAGATACAATAAGAGGTAGAAGAAGATAGACATGGTTGAGATATGATTACTTACACCTTCATCTTCCACGTGAATCTCCAGCAGTAAATGGGTTATAGTTAGAACCTCTTAGAACCAAGAATATTTACAAAAACATAAGTCCTAATGAATTTAGGAGAATTTATTTCCCAGTGCAAATTAGCAATAGAAATGATATGAGAGTTTTAACAAATTATATTGCTATGTATCAGGGGGTTTGAACTTTTGTTTTAAATCTAATATTTGAGCTTTCGTATTTTGGGGGGTTAGGTCCATTTTTCAACCTTTTCCTTTGTGTTGTTTAAATAAGAAATCAGTTGTCTCATCCAGAGGTGGTATTCAGCAGGTGCTGACCAGTTCTGGAAAACTGGTAGTGGAAATGTTGAGTAGTTTGGAGAACCGGCAAATACCACCTCTGACTGGAGATTTTACAGTATCCTTCCCCAGCCACGCCCACCAAGCCACGCCCACAGAAGCAGTAGTAAAAAATTTTGAATCCCACCACTAGTCTCATCCCTCTAAGCCACATGGCTAGCTGGTTTAATTTCAAAGTACTCATTGTTTAACACAGAACACTGTGCAGGATCACATTCACATACAAAATTCCTCAGGAGACTAAAATTTCTATACGTCTTTAGAGCTCAAAAGTCTGCTTATTTTTAATGTATAATGAAAATCATCTTATTTGATTTTTAGAGAATATCCAAGAGCTGCTTAAGAGCTAAAACTACATGGTAGACAAACATGGGCACTGCATGTATTGCAATTTAGATTAGAGCATGGAGGGAAATAGAGGTGTTGATTTAAAAAAGCAAAATCAATTCCCCCTCCCCCTGTATGTTACAATCCATACAGTACCCTTCTCCTTTCTCTTGTTTGGTGTTGGACAGAAAATCTCTTTGGTAGCTTCCTGTGACACATAATCCCAATTATTATTAGGAGGTGGATTTCTGTTGGAATTATACTGGGTGTCCCTATATCCATCAATTGTTGTTGTTTACTGCTTAAAATATATATTTGCATACATGCATCAGCAAGGTACATGTAAGGCATCACATAATTTGGTTCTAAGAGTTTCCATCACTAGCACTGCTCATCCCTTAAACTAGCTATATGTTGCATTTGGCAGTGCTTCAACTTTACATTGTTTTTCCCTTCTTTTGATCTGAGGCACACATGCACTTTACTACAAAGTAAAGTAATATCAGTCGAGGTATTCCAAAAATACAAGTGAAAGAAGCATTTTACTCTATTCCAAGACATACAAAAAACTTACTCAAGATGTCAATTCTGAGAACTGAGAAGTGCTTTCTCTCCCCCTCCTTTTTTCCCCACAGTGACAGCACAAAAGCAAACAAAACTCCTTCATCTCCACCTGATGGGACTCCCATCACCAGCCCTGAGATCAAGGTCATCAACCATGAACCAGAGCCATCCACTCTGGAAGCTCCTGGAGGAGGCATCCCCAAGTCTCCTTCTCAGGTAGTGAGAGCGGCTGTTGTGTTTTCCTTGGGGATTTACACATTTCTATTACATGTTTCCATATTTTTGTTATAGTGGATAGTTCAACTTCATTTGCAGATCAATTACTTTTTTTCTGTTCAGGTTCTTTAATAGTTTTAGGCAAACTGTGTTATTTCTCTTTCTCTCTAAAGCTGCCATTTCTTAATCCAGTGTTCTACTTGGAAGCAAGCTAGCTTGTATTATGTAATTAACATAATGCATAATTGTTCCTAAGAGCAAGAAAAGACCTGGCTAAATAAGATGCCTTGGCATGTGTAACCTCTGAGCAAAGTAGTCAACTGCAATACCAGTGGAATAGTAGAATGGAAATATTTTTGGGGAAGCTTCTTGAACCATTGTCAGAGACATTGATAATAAACTGGAGGTTACTCACACATTTTCGAAGGTTGCTCTGAAGAGGTTTTTCAATAGGATTATTACTTCACTTTGCAAGTTGTTTAATGGCTTTCTTAAAGGAAAGTCACCACTAACTGCATCCTCTGTTTGGAAATGACATCAAACATACATGATTTCTCATGCAAACAATGACATTATGTGCTTGCAAGCCGCAACACCTGTATGATAACATTGACATCATCATACTTGGGTCTTCATTTGACTCCCTACTTGGGTCTTCATTTAACTCTGCAGTGTATACTCTCCGTGTATACATGTATCATTTTTATAAAAAAATGAACATTTTATTTTTTTGCTAAATATTTTTCGGTGTGACTTTAATCTGACTTTATCCAAGCTCACTTTGGCTTCACAAAAGTATTTCAGCACCAAACAATCATTTGAGAACTAACAGCTAGTTAAAATATAACTGATTTTCCAGCAGATATTTTGGAATTTAATTATAGTTATGTGAAGTAAATTATGAATTCCTAGAATTTTAGGATAGTGGGGGATCTAGGTAAATTATCTATAAGAAGACATTATAATATAATCACTATTCCTAGGTGACCACACATATCATTACATCTCTAATTTCCAAATTGATTTAGAAACACCTCACCCTGTCTTGACATTTGGTCATTTTTTAAAAATGCAGTTGCCTTGTTTTTATAAAACCATTAATCAAACTTGCAAACAGAATAAATCCTATTGGGGAAACTTCTCTGGTCAGTGAAGAGCAGTGCTCTTGGGAGAAGGAAAATGCCAAGATCCTATCTTAGAGGTACTCTGGGTTCAAAATGAATCTTTAGAGTCAGTTTAAAACTCAGGAACAAAGGTTCCAAAATCTAATTATAATTAGAGATAAGTTGGATAAATGACTGTTTGGATCAAACAGTCTAAATTTCCTACTATGAATAGGGCTGTGGAAATGTGTAGTTTTGTGTATTTGACTCCCAGCTGGACTGAAACAATAGTCATTTGGACAAGAAATTAGCCCCCATGTTCATGCTATTAATTTGCTAACAACAGGAACACTCTAGGGCAGTGATGGCTAACCTTTTCCACATTGCATGCCATGTTGTGTGTCCTCCTTCTCATCTGGGTAGAAATAAATAAAGCTGGCTGTAATAATTGTGACCGTATTGCAATAAACTGTACTTTGTCTTCTAAAATAGCAGGTGATGAGAAGGAAAGGTTGTTGTGTGGGAGACACCAGAATGTATAAGGTGTAGATCTCCTCAGATTCATGGTTTTTATAGCCAGAAGACTGCTTAATGTTCTACACTTTGAGCTGGGCTTGTATATGTTGTAGAATTTTGCTATGTAATCCTGTGCTGAGAAATTATTTTCAGATCTTTCCAAGAATTTGGAGAGAGCTAATAATAAAGGTTTTATTTTTCATAAATTGTAGAAAATGATGAAGTATGTAGTTTGACATATATTTATTGATTTTTTTTACCATATAAAATATCCATTAACAACAAAAATCAGATTCATTATAGTAAATATCTAGTGTATTCTACTCAACACAATGCAGAATACTCATTCATAAAGGAGAATGGATAATTCAGACACTCTGTTTCTACTACTCCCTACCAATGTTGTAGGCTCTTCCACCTTCAGTAACTCTGTATTGTACCTACTCGCTTACTTCTCAGTTTTGACATAGATTAAGCAAGCTTTTGAAATACCATGGCATTCACCAAACTCCAAATAGAAGTAATAGTAAGAGCATAGGCACCAACAACAACACCATCTGTCATACCATCTTCAGTTGTTACTAAAATCACTGTTCTTTCCAGTCTTCCACCCCCACCCCAAAGAGAATTTTACTTACATCCTCTCAAAAGGAGAAAAGATACGTGGTGCACAGTGCCCTCAGCTGGCCTTTCTCTTTCAATGCATAATGAAACTTATAGCTCACTGTGAAATAAAAAGGCTTTAAATCCTGTAAGAGGATTAATTTCACTTTCCTCACAATTGTTGTATGATTAAAGCATCAACAAATCATGGTTTCCCTTAGAAAACACAACAAGGGTTGCTTCTAATTGACCCTTTTAGCATAGTGGTGCAATTTGTACGTGAAGTAAATTTCTAAATTCAGTTTTAGGAGGGGGAAAAATGAACCTTGGTATGTGATTTTAAAGAAGTACTTGAAAATTTGAGAGGTATTGTTAGAATGTTCTGCCTCCTGTGAATAGCATAAAATATTTAAGCATTGCAGATAGTCTCCTCTTTTAAACCTCTATATGAAATATTTAATTTGGAAGAAAATATCTTTCTCTTCCAGTTCTTATTGCTGCAATACAATATCTGTTACCATAAAAGAATAAAGCTGAGCAATTACTGCTCTGTCATTACAAGGATGCATCATTCAAATATAAAATAACATTGCTGGGGGGGGGGGGGAATGCAAAAGCTTAAACAAATCATTCTCCTCCCAAAAGATTGGTATGGTGTAGACTATGTCCCATTCAGTGGGATATGTACAAACCTTGCACTTTAGAAAAAATGCAAAAAGAACTTTTAATAGTACCAAAACTCTGAGGATAAAATGTAACAAAGAATGTAATAAGAGAGCAGTTTGTAGCGTTTGCTGTGAAAAGCCAACATCCAAATTAATATGGCAAAGAAATATAACTTTTGAACTCTAAGAATACTCTAAAAATGCTATGAAAACCACTTGCTATATATCGATATACAGTATCTATATATCTATTCTCTCACATTAGACATATTCTTTCCAACTCAACAGAGCAGCCCTGGATTAAACATTAAGTAAAGTAACTACATGCTTAAGACAGCAAGGGAAGGGGGCACCGTCCCTGTATTATGCCCTTAACTCTTTCCCTGCCAACCTTGAACCATTTTTTATAATTATCTTTATCCTCCATTTTTTTAAACTTTAATTTGCATTGTTAAAAAAAAACATTTTCTTTGGCATGGTGAATGAGTCAAGTTTAAAAAAAAATTTTTTTTTGGAAGGTATGATTTTATCACATTTGTTTCCTTCCCATGCCTTTCAGGAAAGGACAGTATTTTGGGGATTAATTGGGCTTAATCATGTCCTTCCACAGAGTGATTGTAGGGAAAGTCTCAAATGAAACTGACTATAAAATGTGAACTTCAAAAGACTAATTTTTTTACTGAATCAGTTATTATGCTGCCAAATCTATTACGCAGATCTAGAAGAAATACTGAACATGGTAATTAGTATGATAGTATCTACTATCCCATTGATGCTAATTAAGGTGAAATTGCTTTAATTTAATTTTTATGTAGTAGGGACTTTATAGACTCTTATATTAATTTCTGCTTTTTGTAAAGTGCTTCAGGTGCCTGCTGTAAAGAAAAGCATGCAGCTGTTTTCAGAAAAGGCAACAAAACAGCTGCAGCAGACAATGAGAATATGTGAATGCCCTCAGAAGACAAATACAATGTAGAATCACATCCACGCATGTAAATCTCTAATAAGCATGGAAAGATTGTAAGTGATGAACTGGAAAATGAAAAAAAAAATAGACATGCTACATTATAAAATAGTTCCATAAAAGAAGAAACAGATATGATCTCTAAGCTAGGGAATTTAAAATCCTTGTTAACAGCTGTTTGCATAGCAGCTGAACCAACTATACATGTTGTGACAATGGCAATATAAATATCCAAGAATTCACTGATGAAGTGCCATTTCATTACAGTGAATTTAAACTGATTTAAACTAAGAATAATAAAACTGCAGTATCTACCCTGGATGCTCAAATGAAAACTTTTGAAATGCAAACATTGGCAGGCCTGGAGAATAAAGCTTACACAGATAATAAAGTTCTTATGGGATCAGATAGCAATTTCCATTAAAAAAAACCCTATTACTGTACATTAAGTAGGTCATATCCTAAAATGGGCACCTGCAAGCTATGAATTGCCACATAATGAAAAGGAAAATCTACCAACATGTACTGACTTAAATATATATTTAGCAGAGGATATGACCCTACAGCAAGTAGAAAACAAGACTACTCTTTTGCAATGAACGTCTCTGGTCTTGTGAAAGACTGCTGGCTGGTGTTTCAAGACTTTTCTTTTAGGAACTTGATTTGTAACTGACATTATGTTGCTTGCAGATGAGTTGAGTAAAAGAAGAATGAAAGTGGCAGTGTTTCGATATATAAATCTCAATGAGATCAGAGATCAAGTTAGGAATGGATTAGTCATTTTTATTGCCAACTAGTTCCAAACTATATATACTATTGTATCTTCTTGCAATCCTTTAGCCCTATCACAGAAATAAATACTAAGGGATAAACATTAATTAATGTGTTGTTTTCTCATTGTGATTGCTAACTCAAGTAAATAATTTATGGAATTACAAGTACCACCCACTTAGGAAAAAAGACTCTTTATGGGAATCAGCCATGCTGGTCTAAAAATAAAAGGACTAATTATGGTAAGTGACATTTGACACAGATGAAGGCGCACATGAATTTATTTTCATTGAAAGGTGTAGTAGAAGAGGACCAGGAAGAAGAATATACCAGATGAAGTTCAAGCAGACCTAATCCCATGATATAATAGAAATGTGTACCTATCTATGGGGCATGAAATTCTTTGGGATAGGTACTTCCCTGAAATTGCAATAGAAAGAGATAGGCCAATGATTTGTAGTGCAAAAGACATAATTAGTAGAGAAGAATGCACAGTTGTGTAAGTTTGAAGGTTTGTCTAAGACTTGAAAGAGAGAAAGAGACAGACAAATAGACAGGCAGGCAGGATGGAATATCTAGCATTAAAAGGACATGAGTTTTGATCCTTCCTGACTTACTGTAGATGATGCCTTAATAAGAGAGCCTTTACTCCCACAACATATTTGACAAATATCACTTCTGATGGGCATTGGAGTGTTTTCCCCATGGCCAGACTTGTACATTGCTCTCCATATTGTTGGAGGGACAATACCATAAAATCAAAAGCTGAGTGAATTTAGCTACAGAGATTAAAGGAAATAGAAATGGCAAACTATTTATTTATTTATAATGTTTACTTACATCTGCAAAATGAGGTCTTCAGATTCAACATCTCCCTCTACCAACATTGACTGGAACTGACCCTGGAGTAAAGAGGGAAACAACACAATACCTCCTACTCCTAATCCCTTGAGTTGGCCCAGAAGGATAACGTTGTGATGGTATTGAAGGTCCCTGGGAGATCAAGGAGGGCCAGGATGGATACACTACATATTACCTTGTTGTCAATTTTATAAAGTACTTTAAAAAGATTCATACAATCATTGCTAGATAACCCAGATAGGGTTAGAAATATAATTGGGTGATCTGATTCCATATGATTGTATCTAAGGAACTCAGGAAATTTTGCTCAATCAGCACTGATTCTTGAAAAATTCTGAAAAACAATCTTTTATTTATTTTGGGGAGTTACTATTTATCTTTCACATCATTTTTTTCCTTCTCTGCACAGTTTTTTTTTTTTTTTACTTTTAAGGTTGTTTTTCTATAATAAATAAAACTGAATAAATGGAAAAAAAGAATGCAGTCAAAGTTAGAACAAGCTGACCAACTTCTAAGAACTGCCCCAAAGCAAGTGTGCAAATCGTGTGAATTGTCCCTTGGCCTTTCCCATGACCTAGCACATACCAGTTATATCAGTTTGTCAATGATTAGTGGCTTATTCTTACCAAAGCCTCTATTAGGCATATTTAGTCAGGTCAGGGTAGACTTGTACGCATATCATTTTGACTGAGAAACATTATTAGAACAATCAAATTATTTTGAATTTGGAAAATCAACTTACTGCTCTGTCATTCTACCTAGAGCTGAGATTGATCCCAACAAATTTAGAAACCTACGACTGTGAAGAGATCTAAGAAAGAGTGTCATAGTACCGAAGAGAAAATTAATATGTAATAAATACTATTGCTTTGATGCTGTATACCTGATGATATCAAAATAAATAAAAACCCTTAATGTTAATATGTAGGAGAAAAGGGATTCCCAGACCAGCTTAATTTCTTCTACTGCTATCTGTGATGTCATGATTCCAAAATAATCAGATCTAATTTCTATTAATTAACATTGAATAATGTTTAAACTACCCATTGGCAACATTGTTATCATCACATTATAGTAATGTGATGATTGGGTTTTATGTTATTGGGAGTCTTCTGCATTGGAATCAATCGAAGCTGGTTAGAAACCCTTTTCTCTATGGAAGTAGACATTTCTGCAAATGTAGAGCTACTAGCTTCCCTGGCTTTATAGAACATTAAAAAAAATAGTAATATGCAATTTCCCACCTTGTTGTTCCAGAAAGTTGCACAGACTTTAAATATGTTTGCATGTCCTATCTTATGCACATTAATTATGTTACGCTTCTCTTCTGCAGAAGGGAAACCTGCCTACGACTGAAGTGTAACTAATGATGCAAAGCTTTTTGGAAGAGTGTGATTGTTTCCTCTTATTGCCATGTGTTTTTGTTCTGACCCTCTTTGTATGTAATACAAGTGTGGCATTGTTTTTACTTTGCTAACCTGGTTCCCTGTCTCTGGTTTTTTGGGTGTCGCTGTTTGTGCCGTGGCCATGTGTTCACATGCATGCAGTTGAGGAAAGGCCCTCCTGTGCCACCACCTCCAAAACTCACTCCATCCAAGGAGATGAAGCAGGAGAACATCATCAACCTGTTTGATGACAATTTTGTCCCAGAGATCAGTGTGACAACCCCCTCACAGGTTAGCTTCTCCTTCTTCCCTGCCCTCTCTTGTCCTATCTTCTATTGTTCCCCCTCCACTCCCCCCCCCCGCTTTTCTTTACTAGAGGTGTCAAGCCAAGAAAACTGTTCAGAGGGTAAGCAGTCAAAGGGGGTTGAATTGGGCCAAAGGAATAGTGAATTGGAACCCCTAAATATTGGTGGGTTCTTAACTGGAAATAGAACAGAGAAAACATAAACAGAGCAACTGCTTTCTTCCATGGTGTCCTTCACCAGGATTTCCAAACTAAATAGGAGAAGTGTGTGTGTGTGTGTGTGTGTGTGTGTGAGAGAGAGAGAGAGAGAGAGAGAGAGAGAGAGAGAGAGAGAGAGAGCTAATGGAATGCTAATGGTTTGGAACTCCCAGGCAGCCATAGACAATCTGAACACATTTCTTCTTTTTAATCTGACACAGCTTGTTCAGACAAAGTCAGAGCATTGTCAAAACTCAGTCTGGACTTTGCTCATTGTTTTGTCTGCATGAATTTACAGTGGACTGTTGGTTAATTAAAATAATTAAAATACAATTATTAAAAGTACTATATTTATTTTTCCCCAATTGAAATCATTATTTTGATTTATGGTGAGTTTTGGTTCATAATGTTTGAGAATCCCTGACACTAATGAAGTTCTTGACATTTTTAAAGTCTCCTCTATCGAAAGAATGGATTTGAATTGTGTGAATTGGAGCTCCAAATGTGGGGTTCCCACCTGTTTGATTTCCTTTAAAAGGCAATGGCCATGAGATCATTTTGTTCTTAGGTAATGCTAAGAACAAAGATGAAGGACTGTGCCTTTTGAAAGGCTTCTGCAAGAGTAATCTGAAGTTTTATTGTGTTTTTAAGAGCCTTCCTTGTTTGTCTAGATCAAGCAGGGGCTGATTAATTCTTCTTGGCAATTATTTTACATGATAAACGTCCTCTACCCCAATGGTTTTAGGAGCTTTGGGATTATACTGAGAGAGGTCATACCCTTTTCCAATGATTTTGCATTTAATTATTCTTACAAATTGCTAGCATCCACCAGCCCATTAGAATCTCATGACCTCCCAAACTAATCTCTAAAAGCAAATTTGTTAAGGGACTTATCTGACTAATAGGTGAACCTCTTTTGGGTGACTCAACTTTAGATACTATGATGAGATTAAAAAGCAGCCTGATCAGTTTTCTGGCCTCATTCTCACAACTTTTGTCATCATCATCATCATCATCATCATCATTATCATTGTAATAAATGCTCTTTAAAAAAAGTCATAAAAAGCAATCAATGGCACCTCTAGAATGTATGTTTCCTGACTCCATTCTTCCTTCCCTACCTCAGCACGGTGGCCTGCGGCTTTTACCTCTTCCTCCTGTTCGGCGACTGAAACTTTGCGTGAATGGCCTGAATTTGGGAGAAAAGGCAAGTGTAGGCCTCAGGTTGCCAATGTGATGGGACGCCCCACAGGCAGATGGACACTACATGTAGTGTTCAATAGTTTGGTGGATCAGAATTTCCTTTTCACTCTGGGATAGAAAATGAGATAGAAAATGACTTAACAAGTTTTCAGTATCTTTCTTTTTTTTGTAAAACTTTAGTTCTCAGTCCTAGACAAAAAATAATATGAAATACATGTGCTAACACTGGCAGCATCAGATAAGTATCAGAGACCTTTCAGGCACAACTGGGAACCCATTGAAAAAAAGGGGGGGGAAATGACCAGTTCATTCATGTGAACATACTAAACAGTTGTATTTCTCTCTACAAACTGAAGTGTTACACTTGGGATATTGATTTATTATCTCAATAAAATGTAGGCCTTGTAGAAGCTTAGAAGATTATATTCTCTATCTAGAAACTCCCTTTCTGAAACTGCTGTAAGAGTAGAAGTTGGCAAAAGTTTTAGATATTGTGTCTTTTTTCTTCTTCTTGTCATCCAAATAGCTTTTGATGTTATGGGGATGTGGAACAGGGGGAAAGACATGAGAAAAAAAAACCAAGACATCTTCTGGGTTGCTATTTTTCCTAAAGTATATGCTGATTTACAAAGATTCTAGCCCTTAAAATCTCCCATATATGGTTGGAGTAAGCTTGTCACCTCAAATGTGTTTCTCAGTGACAGACAGAAGACAAATTTATGCCTGTGTATTAAACATGCAAGCAAGCGTTGCTATTTTAGTTTGAAGATAAAAAATAGACAATCTGAACTTTTTTTGACAGAATTGCTTCCATTCAGGAACTACAATTGCAAAACTTGTCTATGCTTTAATGTTTGAGAAAGCCGTAGGCCACTGATCAGTCTTTCTATCCTTGTCTGCTCCTATCCTTTCCCTGTAGCATGCCTCAAGCATTTTTATGCCATGTTTTGTATTGTACATATTTGTGTAAAAACCCTTGCATAAACAGAGCGTTCTGACTGGGACAGATTCAGAGTATAGGCCACTTGAACTGGAAAGTATACTTAGAAAACAAGTTGAATTTTTAGTGGCTAAGTGGGAGGGGGGAGCGAAAGGTATATGGGCACATTTCTATTTTTAGCTGGGTCAATTATTTAGGAAGATAGAGAAAATTGTCAAGGAGGAAGATACTTCAACAACTGGTCCAAGTAACAGGTAAGATTCCAGCATGGCTATGACCTCATTTTAAAATTTTATTTCATGTACACAAAGCTTAAAAATTGGACCTTATTTCCAAAGAAACTGTTGTCAGAACCCTTAAAGTTCAGGTTAACTATGAACGTTTAATGCTTATATTGTGGAGGTGAAGGAACAGGAAACATCTCAGTTGAATGGATTTCAGTGGGTTTTCTTCTTTTTATAAAAAAAGTAAAAATTAAGAAATTATAATTATACTATGTAATAATCTAGACAGTTTTTACCTGAACTGATAAATTTATGTTTTTTTGGTAGAGATTTGGTGTTAACAATTATTTTGATTTACCCAGTAGAAATTAGGAAATGATTTAGGTTTTTAAAATTACATTAAGCAGGATTCTGAAAATGTTGTTTAATAATATAAATTGGTAAGATTATATGATCTGCTTGATAATAAGAGGATGCTGGTATTTCTGTCTTGTTGGATGCAATATAACCTGAATGTTTATGGTATTCTGTAATTTATGATTGTTGAAAATATGAACCCAGTAAGCAAACTATCTAAATATGATAGAATAGTAGAGAAACCACTCAGATACAGAATAACAGAGTTGGAAGGGACCTTGGAGGTCCTCTAGTACAACGCCCTGCCCAGGTAGGAAGTCCTATACCATTTCAGGTTCTAAAGAAAGAAAAAGATGATGGTTACAGAAACATTGTGAGACTAAATTAGAGGTTTTCACAGAAGGTGCTATTCCATTTTATGTTAACCAGAAATGTGGTATCAAGATAACAGTTGTGTTGGAAATTGTAGGTCCACCATAGGTTTGAAGCAGTGAAGCCTGAGAGAGTCAAAGAGTCGTTGTTTGGATGTATGGAACTTGAAATTGTTCTAATAGACAGCCTAGGACAGTGGCATAACAAATGCAGTGCCTGAACTTTGTAAAATGTTAATACTTGAATTTTATGATCTATTATTTGCAGAAGTATTAAGCACATTATAGCCAACCAACATATATGAATATATATTTAATATATAACCTTTTTGTACCTTCAGTTTGCAGATTACATCTTCCGCATACCCTCAATCTTTTTAAACTGCCTAACTGTCTAAAAATACTGATATTTTTTTTTCCTTTAATGCTGCCAAGTTTGATGCCCCTGGGTCTTTCCAGGAGGGAGCCAGCCTATTGGATTTTGATTTTGATCCCATTAAACCAGATAACAACCTTGTAGGGAAGTCTCCCACACCTGCTACTCAGGTTGGTTCATTCACTGTCATTCCTTTGCTCCATGACCAGGCAGTAAAGACTTTATGGGTTCTTATGGGGAGAATTGTATGGTGTGACAGATGAACTCTTGGTGATTAAAACACATACTTGAGTCTTGCATATATCTTGTTGATCAGCAGTAATATTTGGTGTTTATTTAATGTATTTAAGAGCTTCACATTCATTATTTCTTAGAATATTCCTATCTTGTATTACAGACAGTGCAAAGAGTTGGAGAGGGGAATAATGGTTTGTCTTTAGCCAAGTTGCAATATTAAAGATTTGGCTAAGTCTGAAATAGTAACCAGGCATACCATAGATTATTATTAGTTAGATGCCATTGAGTTAGATGCTCATGATGATTGCATAGGCAAACACTCTTCATCTTGCACTGTATTTAGTGTAACTCAGATTTCTTTGAAGTACATGTCTTTGATCCTATCCATCCATCTTATCTGCCATCTTCCCCCTTTTGAGTACTGAAATATTTAAAGAACTCAGCTACTGAAATTGATTGATCATGGGCAATAGGTCAGTGTCTACTGACCACGTAGAACAGGGATGTCAAACTCACATCGTCATGCTGTTGTCATATGATGTATCGTGACTGTTTTCCCCTTTGCTAAAATGGGGGTGGACGTGACCACCACGGAAGCATCCAGCCCTTGGACTGTGAATTTAACACCCCTGGCATAGAATAATTATCTCCAGGAAAATCTGTTTCTAACTGTTTCAAGTCTTAACTACTACTAATGGAATATCCAAAATTATAAACCACGTTACTTAGCTTCAATATATGACATTGCTAAACATTTTGTGGCCATTTGGTATGTTTGCACTTTTTATGTTGTTTGAAATAATAAAGACTTAATGCTTTTTTTCCCCATTGCTTTTTGCTATGCTTAGTCTTTCTCTTGGGATTTATGGGAGGTAAGATTTCTATTAATACAACTTTCACTGCAAAATTATGATGTAACACTTGGTGTTTGTAAATGCTACTTTGCACCATTATTATGCAAAGACAGTTGTGTGTATCTTGAGCCTCTATTCTCATTGACAGTCGAGCAATCTAGCTGCTTGGTCAGATACTCCCGCATTAGAAACCTCTGGCAAATTTAGTAGTATAAGGAACAGCATTATTTTATTGTTTTTATATTTTAGTTAGAAAATATTGTGAGCAATGGCTGTCAAAATTTCCTTTTGTACCGAAAACAAGGCAGAGGTATGGAGGAAACCTTGGGGTTTTCTGATGTCATTTCATCTCCCACATTCCCATTGTGGCCATTCGATCTCAGATATTCCAGCTGTTGCTTTGGAAATTGGCAAGGATGATAGAATTTTTGAACAGATCTCTCTTGTGTTCTGGAGAAAGTTCAATGCGTCCCATGGTACTCTAG